GCACTTATACTCACAGCGGTGAGTGTATTCAGTGATTCTGATGTTCATACTGCAACTGAGGTCTGACAGATTGAATGCTGCATCGATGAGTGGATGACTGGTGTAAAGGAGGACATCAAATTTTCGTCGGTGGCTTACTCCCCGGTCTACCTTATCCATCTCAAATCCCTGCGGCGGTTCGAGGAGCGGACTGCTGCTTACAAACTGCTCGGTAAAATTGGTGTCAATCTTCTCGACATCGCTCGGTATGTTTCTGATTACTTATGTCGTTCATCATCCAAACTGACTTTCATAAAAAGGATGCACGCTGGTGTGGATCCACTTATGGCAGCAGTGACTATTGATAGCTTTACCGATGATGTTTTCGATGATGCGATTCGAGAGTACAAAGACGAGGCTCGAGAAGCACAAGAAGGGGGTGGTGACTCGGATTGAGGCGGCTTTCGAGAGTACGAAGACGAGGCTCGAGAAGCACAAAGGGGGTGGTGATTGAGGCGGCTGTATCTCGAGGATTGTATGCATGCTCACGCACTATAGCACCTTAATTGATTCGATTTTGTTGATAACCGGTTAGCGGTGCGATTGGTATTGCGGGAGCTACAGTACTAGTAGCAGTGTGTAGCTACCTGTAGCTCGAACGAGCAAATGCTAGCACTATTTCTATTGCACCCTGTAGCAACTTGTAGTAACTTGTAGCACCTGTAGCACCTGTAGTCAGTTGCTACAACGAGCTACAGGAGTTGCCGTAGCACTATATAGTCAGCTGTGTGGCTATATAGCCGCCTATAGTAGGCACTTGACACATTGTGCTACAGGTACTACCTTGACTATATAGCACCCTGTAGTCAAGTGTATTTTTCCTGATGCAGCTAAAACAACGCTTCGACTTATTGGATCTCGGTCCCGCTCGCCACTTCCTTGGCATGCACATTATGCGCGACCGTGAGAAGAGGCTCCTCACCATTAGCCAGAAGGCTTACCTTGAGAAGATTCTCGAGAACGCCGGCATGACACTGTGCAATCCTGTCAGTACACCTATGACACCTGGAGTAACCTTGCAGAAGGCTACACGTCCCCCAACGAGTGAAGAAGCGGACGCCATTGCGTCGATCCCATATCGCCGAACTATCGGTGAACTCAACTATGCTATGCGAACCACTCGCCCCGACATCGCTTACCCAGTTTCATGCCTCTCCCGATACATGGAGAACCCCAGTATCGACCATCATCGTCAACTCAAACATCTTCTCCGGTACATTCGTGGAACTACGGATTTAGTACTCATCTTCGGCTCGTCGAACGAGGGACTCGTTGGACACTCGGATTCGGACTATGCTGCAGATCGAGACGATAGCAAGTCCACCAGCGCTTATGTCTATCAACTGTTCGGAGGGCCCATTAGTTGGAAGTCTCAGAAGCAATCTGTGGTCGCTACCTCGACCACGGAGGCCGAATATGTAGGTCTATTGAATGCTTCACGCGAAGCATTATATCTAATCCAGCTTCTACACGACTTCCGCCTTGACCCCGAACTCTACGATCCCGCACTCCTATATGGAGACAACCAGTCCAGTATTGCGCTCTCGAAGAATCCAAGATTCCACGAAAGAGCCAAACATATTCGCGTCCACTACCATCTCATCCGCAACCTCGTCGACACGAACAAGATCGAACTCCAGTACAAATCCACCTCGGAGATGATTGCTGATAGTCTAACGAAGGCATTACCTCGCCCAGCTGGGATCCAGCATCGGGAAAACATGGGACTACGTCGTCAAGACCTGCCAGGCGCTCTGACGAGTGGGAGTGTTGAGAGGTGATCCGTCAGAGCACCGAGCCGGTTCCAGATAAATATATCTAACTGTTCCAGTTCTATGTACCTTAGCTGCCAGTGTCACTGGACGTCATCCACCCTAGTTACTGACCATTTTCTCTTTTCTATTTAAGGATGGCTAGACGCTATACTCGCACCTCAGTCTTTCTACCATTGACTGAGGTGCGCATACCATTCATATTATACTATACATGATACTTACTAGCGGTCCTACAGACTCACGCTACCTTAGGTTAGTTTACACGAATAGAGTCTTTCTACCATTGACTGAGACTCACGCTACCTTAGTTCTCGCTCTTTAACAAGATCTGGCGGTGATTTTTCGGCCCGGCCTTATATCTCATCCTAACCATGAACTGTCCCCGGAGGAGCATGCGCTGAGCCATCGTGTCCTCGAATCCCTCCTTGCGAAATTGAATTGGATCTCACACGACATACCACCGCTGCCACCGCTATCGGAGCCTGTTGATGGTGGACAACTGCCGCCTGTCATGGAGACACCAACATCACGCCCCGTAGGCTAACCATCGGGTTCTTGAGAAGTGGAAATGAGCAGGAGTCGGACTATGTCTTCCAGTCGAGGATCAAGCACGGACGACGAGAGACGCCGCACTAACGTACGCAAGATAAAGAAGCGGAGGTCAGGTCAACCGCGAGACCTGGAGGGCACACCGCTGGAAAACACTGGTGGGTCGTTCCTGGGCCCCGCGCGTGAAATGGACCATCGCTCTCAAGTCCCAGGGCACTCCTTGTATTTGTGCCACATCTTTTCTCTCAGATTCACTCGACAGGACAGAAAATGTTGATGACAACTGTCGCCTGTCATGGAGACACCAACATCACGCCCCATAAACCAAGCACTCTTGCCAACGGAGACGCTGCCCTCGCTGTAAGCGATTTTGACAGAGCCATTGACTTCTACTCTACAGCGATCGACCTGAATTCTGCAAGTGACACTATGTTTGTAAATCGCAGTAAGGCCAGGTCGGGAAACCTACTATGGGAAGATGCGCTTCTCTATGCCCAAAAGGTACGATGACATTCACTATTCTCTGCCAATGTTCTACGAGGTGAAGCATGCAGCGCTTCATTGCACACAACGCTACGATGAAGTTATCGAGGCCTTCCAAATCATGCTCTCGAAATTGGATAATACTCCCAACACGCAAATTCGAAGTAAGCCCTGAGTAACTCATGCACCAAGGTTTTAACTCTTTCCTCAGAGCTGCACAAGCAGTATCTCAGTCCACCCGGTGCAAAACATGCTATTCGAAAAGCCATCGATGTTCAACTCAACACTGCCCCACATCGTCTACTCAACACCGCGACTGGGCTCTTATGTAATCGAGAAGCACAAATACGCACCTTTCAAACGAGCACAGAGTACAAGGAGCTTCAGTTATCGACTATGAAGCACCCTGACCTCCGAACCGAGCGAATAACAGAAGTAGTGGCCACGTACTTCAGTTGCGTCATGCTATCACATAGGTAGGAAGGGACAGAACCGCTGCTGCATGACATACATGACAAGGTCGTTCACGAGTTGAAGGCAGCTGGCGGTCTCGTAAAGTTGTAGTCATTCTGCAAAATTACTCGTAAGATGGGGTATCACTGGGCGTGGGTTGGTTCATGTTGCATCGACCAGCATAACCACGTCGAGCTCCAAAAATCACTCAATTCCATGTTTGCCTGGTATCATCACTCAGCCCTCAGGGCCATCTACCTGTCGGATGTTCTGCCTTTGTCCAAGTCTGGCGCACTGGCGAACAGCGCTTGGAACACCAGAGGATGGACCGTCCCGGAGTTCCTGGCTTCTAAAGTCATTCGCTTCTACCAACAGGATCGGACTCTATATCTCGACAACGAGTCCCCCAACCACAAGGAGTCCGTCGAGATCATGGGCGAGTGGAGGATGCGACGGGCATAGATGCACGCGCCCTAGTCGCCTTCCAACCAGGGATGAGAGATGCTCGAGAGAAACTCCAATGGGCGTCTACGCGAGTCACCACTGTGCAGGAAGATATTGCATACTCATTGTTTGGCATATTTGGCATCCAACTATCCATCCTTTATGGCGAGAATAAGCAATGCGCGCTCGGGCGCCTCCTGCAGGAAATTGTGGCTCAGTCGGACGACATTACTGCCCTTGACTGGGTCGGACAGCCATCCACGTTCCACAGTTGTCTTCCAGCAGATACTTCCTCATATGCAACTCCACAATGTGCCCTCTCATCTTTGTCTGAAGATGAGATTCAAACAGCGGTCTCTTCGCTGCGAAATACGGTGGCTGTGGAGTCGACTTCGAGACGTTATGATCTGCTTGACAACATGAGCGTCCCTCGGTTCGCGAACTGCAGACTGCAACTGCCTTGTATTGTGTTTCGTGTTACGGAACTCAGACGGAGGCGTAGTCCAGATTTCACGTACCGAGTCAAGGCAGATGGGCTTGATGACCTGCTGATCACCACCAAAGAGAAACTGATTCACTTCTCACGTGCAAGGTCCACTCGACAGACATTCTTGCTTGTCCGTCCGTGGGATCGATGTCTCCTCGAGCAGCGTGACTTTGCAGAGCTGCCTACCTTTACAGATGATGCGGAAAGCTCGGGAGATTGGTCCGAGTCTGGTCCCCCGTTAGACCAACCCGGCGGTTTTCCTGTATAACAAGAACTGGGTGATTCTGACTCCCAGTCACGAGCCTTGCCAGCCCCAACTGTTGACATCATGATGGACGTCAGGACCCTAGAAATATTGTAGTTGTATGTATTAGCCGCCATCATCAGATATATCGCCGCAGTTCTCTGCCTCAAGTTAGTATACGCCAAGAGTTTGATGACTCAATGAGCGTCCACTGGAAATATCAGTCCAGTATTGCTCAGCTGCGAAAATATGCAGGCCTCCCAGTCAGAGTAAGTACTTGTCTTCTGTGATGAACTTAATTCCCTGTTCGGCCCATCAACGACGCTGAGGACGGCGTTCATAGAGCATGGATTAGATCTAGATGCTCGTGTCAATGACACCGCATTGGCCGTCTGACGCGGATCATGAGCTTGGTCTATTAGATGATCTGCCTCCGAATTTCCGAAACCCATTGACTGCGCTGGCTACTCGGATCTCCAGATCCCGGGCGCTGTGTGATTCCTTACTATTGGAGCTTTGGTTTTGCCGTTGATAAAGTTATACATTGAATTACACTGATGCATAGAAAGACACTAGTACTTAGCTTAGGGTATAGAATATGAAATACATAAGGTCTAGGCAGTTTTGACGAGACAACGAGCTGATTAGTATCTTCCCAGCCAGTGACAGATTCAGCCGGTCTATATCAATTTATCGAATCCAAAAATTTATTGGTATGTCATGTGCCAACACCAAGCGCCGTTGCCCATGTCCGCCCGCCCACCTCGCTCAGCACCCTCTCTACCTCAGTCTGCTCCAAGTTGAGAATGACCCTACGCTCCCGGGCAGGCTTGCGGGCGGCGTTCAGACCATCCTCGACAATCATAGCGTGGGAGGCAACCAGGGAGTCCAGAACAAGTCCCAGTTCCTCTAGAGTGGGTTTCCGCGACGGGTCTCCTTCGGAAGTCAGGGCGTCAACGTATGTAATATGCTGGTCTTCAATCTTACGTACTATGAGTCGAACATTTCAGACAAAAAAAGATAGAATACATACCTCGCCCCATTTAATCTCCTCAACGCCCTCCCGCTTTATACATCTCAGCAGGGATGCGAGCATGATCCGCTCATGCAAGGTGCAGTCCCGGAGGTATGCTGCCGTTGGGCTGTTCTGCAGTACTTTAATAACCTCCTTCACATCCTCCGTGCGAGCAGCGCGCCGCTTGGAATGCACGAGTTCCACCGCTCGTCTACATACGTGTTCAGTTACGTTACGGCTACGGAACAGGCCCGCCACATACCGGCATATATCAAGTACCCTACGCGCATCTCCGCTGATCGATGAAACCTTCATTGAGGCAAACTTGACCCCGTCGGCATTGATCACGTCCGGTGGCTCTTCGAGGCCCTCTTTGGCATCTCTGAGACGTGCATGCACGATCTTCTCAAGCTGCTGCGTTGTATACGGCTGGAAGTTGATTCGGATCATGCCTTTGCAGTGCAGAAATGAGCACAAGACAGATGAAGTGCTTGATTTGATGGCACCTACCAAGCCGACTGCGTACACGTCCACTCATCACCCGCTCTGGAAGGTCCATGGTGTTTGCGACAGCAATCACGACAAGCTTTGAGCCTGCGATCGTGGGCCAGTTGAAGAAATTATACACCACGTCCTGCTTTGCCGTGACAAGCTGATCGAGCTCGTCCATAAGAACGACGCTAGGCACGCAACTCAGCGATGACCAACTGGTTGCGGAGAATCCTGCTTACCATGCGTGCCCTGCGGGACCCGCTCGTGCACCTGCAGAAAAGTGTCTGGTGAGCTGCTTGAGTGCCTCCTTGGCGCTGGTCTTGAGATGGCCATCGATCGCTACATCGTGCCCCGAGACGGTCTCCCAAAGTAGGTTATACGCGGCGGATGGCTCGGGGATCCTGAGTCCGTTGATTTCAACGTACGTGAAAGGATTTGTTTCCTACCAAACGAAGATGATTCAGTGAGAAGAACTGATCAAGAGATAACAAACATTGTTCTCAGCCATTCGTTTGAGCTCACGAACGACGGCATGAACCGTTGCAGTCTTGCCTGTTCCTGGTACTCCAGAAATATCTGGAATCGATGTTGAATGAATGAAGAATACGGAAGACAATCTACGCACAAACGCAACCTCCGCTTCCTTCCTCAAGGAGCTCTTCTACGGTTCTCAGAACGCGACTATATTCCTCCTCACGACATGGGAGAACATCGGGACGCGCAGCGACATGAAGGACGTGCATTGACCGAAGCCACGAATCTGGAGGAAGGTTCTGCAACTGCTTGTAGTGCTCCTGTGTGAGATTCGGAGGCGGAACACGGATGGCTGGTGCTTTACGACTTCGCTTTCGTAATGCAGCTTTGGAGTGCGGTGTGGGTGCTGCGAGCTTCGGTGCACGTTTTTTGCTGGGGGTGGACTTGGGTGTGGATAAGGTACGCTTCCGCTTGCGAGAGGGTGTCTTGGGGATGTCATCGGTAGGTATGCTAACAGCTGTCTCGCTATCGGAGGCATCGTCCACAACAGAAGGGATGAAATGGTCATCGGGCTCTGATGCAGGCTCGTCGTTCTCGTAGTCACGATCACGGACGGAGTCATCACCACTTTCTTCCGCAATATCTTGGAGCTTTGTTCTCTTCTTCGTACGCTGTCTTGACGATGTGGTCTCTACAGCGACGTGCCAGCAAGTCCCATCGGCAAGGTCTTCGTCAGAACGGGTGAGAGCTTGTTGTCTGTGAGCTACCCAGTTGAAATCGTAGTATATGTTGCTACGGGACTCGATTGCAAGACGACAATAGAATGGTGTACTTTCTTCCGAAGCGGTGGTGATCCAGTTGTTTCGTTTGCGCTCTGTGGGTACGGAACGTGGAACGTCGGTGACGATGCAATGCGATAGTATGCATGAAGGCGGAAGAATGGCTTGTGAAGCGAGAGTGAAATACACTTCGTTCTGGTGGTAGGAATGAGTGAATGACAATCAGCAAACGTGCCACTGACCTCGAAATGTTCCCTTTTTGCCCTAATGCGAGGCAGCTCCGACGGATGTTGGAACCAGTGAATTCTGACCATCATGTGTGGATTATCGTCCTCCAAATCATCCCCGCCTTTAAATTCCCACATTGAAGCGATGACTCCAACGCTGGGATGTTTTGTAGACTGAGTTTTGACGAGCACGGTGTCTCCGACCTCAAATGTCTCCGTCTCGACAGCTGACCTACGCATACCCAGCCCCCTCCGTGAAGCTGGCGCGGTATTTTTCGTTCGCTTAAACGACTTGCGGAAAGCAGTCTGCATTCCTGGACCTGGTTGCCAGCCCTCATCCTCTTGAAGAACCTGATAATCTTCTTGTACAATTGGACGAACGTAAAATGGATCGCCTGTCCAAACCGCAGATTTGTCTACAAACGCGTCAGTCCTCACTGGAGTCACAAGCGGTTGAAAGCGCTTTGAACGTCGAGAAGGCGTCACTGGAGTCGATTCCATCTGGAGAAGAAGTATTGTCACAAACGCGTGACAAGCGCGTCGGTCACTAGAGGGTGGTCACGTGTTCCCGGTGGAACCCGGACCGACTGCTTGATAAGATTACGATTTGATTTTTTACAGAACCGGATCATGTAGAGTATGCTCGTCACTCAAAGTAATTCGATGACCTTATGAGAACACACAATCTCGCGTTCTTCTTATATTCTCAAACTCTGGTAGTTGACTAACTTCACAGCTCTTTCCCCCTCACAAGATGTCCAAGGAGACAGCTGATTTGCTACCCCCTGATCACTTCCTCCACCAACCCCGTCAGGACTTCCTGGTGGGCTCACATGAGGGACACGTCGATACCTCGACTCTTGCTGCACATGATTTCGACCTCGATACTCGCACGGGTTTCATGCCCCCAGATCCACCTCTAAGTAGACTCCCAGAGCAATGGGAACCTTGGGAGACAGCACTAGATGCTGCAATGCACGCAAAGCTACAGCTTGCTGTCAAACCAGGCCTGACAATCGAGGAGATAAAATTGTCTGAGTCATGGCGAGAACACATTCGACGGGTCAGCACGGGTCTCCGTAGTTTCATTGACACGATGTGCACACTCACACGAATCCTTAGCTCCCTGTCATCCCTACATTTGAGCTCACACACTCCGAGCTGCTCCTTCGGCGCGCACATCATGTTCTCACCTTCCTCATGCATTTTTATATTTACACACTTCCCCTTTCTTTACCCGTGCTCATTCCAAAACCAATTTCTGTCCCCCTCGTCGCTATATCCAATCACTTGCAGTTACCCCCAGTCGTCACGTACTCTGACAATGTCCTCTATAATTGGGACATCATCCGCCCCAGGGAAAGCAATGAGCTTGGATTCCAGTCCCCTGCTCTGGACAACCTTCGCAGCCAGGACATGTTCACTGGCACCATAGACGAGCAAGAATTTTACCTTGCTTCTGCTCGTATAGAGCTCCGCGGAGTTGAGGCTCTCGAGCTTATGCGTGCAACAATGGACGAGATGTTTGTCGGAGATGCCATAGCCATCAGGCGAATTTCCGCATACCTCCACAAACTTGCCTCTGTTGTGCAAGACCTTAAGGGCATCCTGCTCGACGTGCGTAAGGGCTGCGACCCCAGCACGTTTTATCACACCATCCGCCCATGGTTCCGCGGCGCAGACTCCGACCCTGCCCACAGGAAATGGGTGTTCGAAGGCGTTGAAGACCAGCCGACCAACCTCTCAGGGCCAAGCGCAGGGCAGAGCGCCCTGATCCATGCCCTAGACGTATTTCTTGGACTGGACAATTGCAATGTGGTCGAAGGTGGTGTTACACCAGACCAACGTACGCTGCTGAGAAGGATGCAGATCTACATGCCGCGCCACCACCGCAATTTCTTGCGACATCTCAGCACGAACCCACGTCATGTGCGAACGCTCGTAACGCAAGCGAATCCTGATGCAGAGCTCCTAGATGCATACAATTTTACAGTGCAGTCAGTGAAGGAGTTTAGGGATGCGCATATCAAAATCGTAGCAATCTACATTATTGGACCTGCTGCCCGGGAAAGGATGCAGCTCGAGGAGGCGGACCCAGAAGCTCAGGTCGCACAAAAGGGTGAGAGGGTGGTGCTGAGGGGCACTGGCGGGACGGATTTAGTACGGTTCCTGAAAGGCGTGAGGGACAAGACTGCCGAGGCGGTCATAGAGCCTACCCTGGAGTAGACCTCAATTATGCATTGGATCTGGGATCCTGCCATGGGATAAGCATTCATTCAACTTATTGATCATTATTTTCGCTCACCAATATTTACTCCTGTATGGCGACATACACCCTATAAACTGCTGCGAATGTGTACACACTCCCCTAGATAGACGACACAAAGGTAGATAACTGTTCCCTCTTTTTATGAGGTCCAATAGACTTAATTCAGGCGTCGGATTTGCGGAGTGTGTTGTCCAGCAATATTGTAATTGAAGTTTAGTGGTGTGGGGCACCCGGCTTGAAATTCATGCCTTTCACCGGCGGTCCTACGTCATATATGCCATTAGCGAGCGAGGCATCTTTTTCATATGTACCTCATTGGCACTTACTATCTGGGGATTTCGGTGTAACTTCTACTAAGAGCATGCCAGTGTTATAGGAAAGGTGGAGTGAAAGACGTGATCATAGTAACACTATAGACCCAGAATCCTGACCAGTTTGACTAGAGAGCAGGTTGTGACGTAGCCGCCCACTCGATGATATCGTCCGTGGAGTATGAACTAGGCCGGTGATAAGCTACCATGACATATACCAACATGAGCCAGAGCGTCGAATAACGTTTTTGAATATTTCCATGTGAGGAAATTGGATCTGAACTGCACTTTGAAGGCATCGAATGGGTGAACATACCAAGTAGAGCAACTTAGTCGGTTCCGCTCCTCGTGAGCACAGCCACTCATATGCCAGACGCTATTGCGGGCATCGTGGGACGGACAGCGGCTCCACCTTGATATAGAACATCGACACAAAGGAAAGCCTCTGGTAAGTTGCTTGCACTGCATCGAAGTTTGATTGAGGTAGACTCTGATCCACATCACAGAACCATTCGGGGGACACAAAAGGTGCCATGCCGACGTCGACCGACGTCATTCTTAACTGTTTAAGTGCGCTTGAGTTACACGGATATGCCGTTTAATGGTTCGACAAAGACGATCGGTGACGAAACGACACCCCATGAAGACGGTATTGTCAGCTTGCTCGGGATTCCTCCATAATAGAGCAAGCACCACAAAGAGAGATTCATAATCATTCATTTCGCTTGCCGCCGTAGCATCTAGATCTGATTACGCAGGGGCGGAAAAAAACGAGTAGGTGGCGTACAGGAGTGTACAGGAAAAAGGAATAAGGTTCAAGGTAGCCGAAGGCTAATTGCGATATGATCACGGAGCGCTGTGAAATCCCGAAGTTTTTTTGGTAAGAGCTAACCAGTTGAAACACTGGACAGGATCCATCCGTGCCTCGTGCCGAGCCCCTTTGAAGTTCCTCGATTCGTGGGCGCAAGCGTTCGATATTTTGAGGGGAGGGTCGGAACACCAGATCTGATACAGATCTGCTGTCAAAGTTGTGAGAAGACGTTCGTGCAAGATTTTGCAACGAGCCACGCAGCCATGGACAAGCAACAATTAGCACTAACGGCATGTCCAAAAATGGATAAGAGTAAATATGCACAAACTTGAAAACTCAAGCTTCTTTTCCTTTTTGAGCTTTTTGTCTGTTCACTAGATTATCGGCCACTGATTTCAGTTTCTCTTGCTTTATTGTATTGGGCATTTTGGAAGCACTGTTTTCGCATATCCGCATCTATTCCTTGACTACAGACACAAAAGACCTTGCCGTGTCTTACTTTCAGACACGTTGAAGACAAAAAGCAAGAGAGCCACTTTTTTGTTCTCCAACAAGATCGCAACAACTTCTTGACACGCTCGCCCAAGATGGACATACACATCAACTCTTCCAGCTATAAAACACTCGAAACAATGGCGGAGGTTAGACAACAAGCCATCCGAGCTATTCACAGTACTTCATTACTATCAGAGCAATGGCACCTGCAGCAGCCAACTATTATTCCGCTCCTCCACATGCCCACCAGAAGCAACGTGGTTATCGCATCTGCGATACCTGCGGTGCAGTTGAGAACCCAAACGCGCAGAAGTTCCGACTCTGCGGTGGTTGCGTGCGTGCCTACCCTTCCCTTCGATCACGATCCTCGCTGACCAAGTCCTTTTATTTCAATAGATGACCACCCAGTACTGTGTAAGTGATCATTCTCCCCTGGTCTGACATTTTGTTGACGCAAATCACAGTCACCCGAGTGTCAAAAGTCGCACTGGCCTTCTCACAAGGCTATCTGCCAACATACCGCTGCTCAGATGATAGGAGCAAAGCAGCAGGCCATCGGGCCTGCTTATCCTGATGAAAACTTGGCGAAGTATCTTCGCAAGTTTACTTCAACACACTCTTCACTTCTCGGATGGGCCGGCTTCCAAGCCCTTCAATTAAAGCGCCTACCTGCCAATATCCGGCAAAGTGCGCTGCTTATCGAGCTGAGCTACAACCCTCACGCCGAATCATTATACCGGTACGTTCTAGTCACCGGATTTAGAAAGGCGATCTAAATGCTGATTCCGCCGGACACACAGTTTCTCAGTAGCAAATACGCATATCGTCTCTCGGACACATGTGACCAGTCATGATCCCCTTGTTGCGGCTGATATTAGCCGGCGAGAAGAACGCTGTCGCCGGAGTGGGGGAATTGGAACCCTTGTTATACTCGTACAATGTGGTGGCATAAGCCAAGTTATGCCCGTGGAAGTCGACCCACCCAGTAAAATCTCGTGGGATTCGCGAGACGATTGGGCGGAAGTACTTCGTCATTTCGTTGAATCTGGACGAACAGATTTCAAACCTATATCCACGACCGCCAGGGGGTAAGCTTCAATCAAAATTTGATGGATCGGGCCGCAGAACTGATCGCATCCTATCTTAGGGTCGTTTATGTGTAATTTGACATCATCGCCTTCGTACTTATGACCATTCTTTGCAACGTGGATCGTTGCATGACCAGCATTTTTTTTCGTTCGCTGCATCGTGTTCGGACAATTTGTACTATTTGCGTCGCACTCATTACAACTCACCATACCCCACTTTTCATGTTATGTTGTAATTGTACTGCATATCGATTTAATGGATATGAATCAATACAAGCCCCCACACCACCGGAACTGTACAGCCTGCTTATGTAAAATTCATAGATGTTCCAAAACGTTGATCTCTCCATCGTCATCCACCTACTGAGAGTAACATCGTCCTTCATCAGCCATGACTGCCCAGGGCAGGGCATACACATCTACACCCACTGACGCATCCCGAACAATTACGCTGCATGATTCGCAGCCACGACCAGAAGATGATGCAGGTCAGGCTGGTGACTCAACGGTTGTGGGAGCTCTTAGATTACGGGGGGAACCACGCAGGACTCGTCAGCGAGTCGCATGGGACGAAGACGTGATTGACAATGAGGGATGCGGAAAGAAGAAGTCAAAGAGTGTGTATCTCCAGTCTTGAACTATTTCGGTGCAGCTGACTGAACTACCCCCTAGTCTGCTGTATATACCACAAGCCTCGGCGCTTTGATGAATCATCTGAGGAAGAATCATCCGAGTCAGACTCTGATTCAGACTGTCAGCACAGTGACTGTTCGCGTCAGAGACGGAAGCATCATCGCGAAGGAGACGGGCAGAACAATGAACGTGCTACCCGTGACTCGCCCAATAGGGAGAGTGATTCATGAACTGGAAGATGCGGGGTCGAGTAGTAATGCGTATGAGCGGAATCCCAAGGCCAGAAAGAATTAGGTACGTTGAACCCGTCAAGTACGAAGCGTGTTCTGACGATGAGCATGTCAAAGTTGCCCACCGCTTTATATCCTTGGTACTCTATAGATATAATATGATATCTTATGTTCAGGAGTCGATTCAAAACCTTGAGTCTATCCACCATGTTAGATTGTTGATTATTATACCGGACATATTTTGAACCTGTTTTGCTCGCAAATCATACGTACACAACTTTGACTTGTACTTAATCATAATCACTTGCTTCAACCATGCATCAGCCTCTCAAAAGATCAAAACGCTCGCGAGAAGATACAGATCACTTGTTTCATCGAGCGCGTTCACCTTCTCCAAGGCCAGAGCAATGCTATCGTGGTTCAGCTCGTCTGCCTTCGTCCGACTTTCCGTTTGTTGCCAGTGCTTTCATCGCTGCAATCCTCATAAGTGTCACGGTTATTCTCTACATCTCGCCGGAGTCAGCGCCGCGGCGCTCTAGTATAGGGACGTCGCGTGCTCCAGACTTTCGCAGAACACCTCAGATTTCGGAATGTATTCCACTCAAGTATGTTCACCGTCACCAAAAGTAATTGGCCGAACCGTCCTTCGTGTCCTTCATGATATCCACGACGCCGATCATCGCGATGTACCCCCCTCGACAGTATTACGACCCCATCACAAATGGCCTCCAATTGTCACCAGAATTCCCGAGTCCAAGGACGTTTCGGAAGATGCAGGCATTCGCGCTCCTTCGCTGACAGCTCCAGCTGTTGACGCGGTCCAATTCGACGAATCAGTTTGCGGTTCATTTCCTTGTCGCTTTCTTCTTCCCCTTCGTATCGCCGAGCAAGAACCGAAAGCCCATCTGCATCTTCAGCAACTAGCGATTCTCGCAAGTAACTTGAATCGCACTCTCGTTCTCCCGAATGTGGGCAATAATCGCATAGGGGCTTGCTCCAAATGGCCGCTCGATTCTTATTACGACACGGACTTACTTAGCAGCGCCCTCCCTGCTATCAGCACTTTGCCTTTCACTGTATTTAACAATTGGAGTGAAACGCGACCCATCTTACCCACAAGCAGAGTCGTCTCTTTCAGCGTCAGCAAAAATGGCAAACAAAATTCACTGCCCGATCCACTTACTGACGACGATTTCAGCATCAATTTTAACCTCGCAGATCACAAGGTCGCTTCCTGCCTACACACCAAGTTTCCTAGACTTCACCAAAGCTCTTCTATAATTTCCATCGCGTTTTACCGCAGTCACCCATCTAGGCCATCGATAAGCCAGCGTCTTATTCAGATTTTCTCGGGGGTTGCGGGTTCCGCGGAATATCTCTCAGACGAGATCGCCGCGCTCCGGAGTTCCGATGTGATAGCTGTTGAGTGGGACCTGAGTCACCCAATCTTCTCTGGGCCCAACATAGATTTGCAGTACTCTCATGCTCTGGTTGAGCTTGCCGAAAGATTAGCAAGCTTCACGGGTCCTTATGTCGCAGTACACTGGGGACTAGAGCGCGTCCCAGTGGAAAACCTTGCGTGGTGTGCAGCATCACTCGTCTCTACACTTCGTTCAGTGCTCGACGATGACGACTCAGGGCCTCAAGTGGTCTGGCTCGCGACCGACTATCACACTCTTTCAGAAGGCTCGGAACAGCCAAGCGGTGGAAAGATTAAAAGCGCGAGATCTGGAACTTTCCGAGCTATTACCCCCGAACACGAGGAAGCCATGAATATCCTTCAGGACGCATTCCAGACAGGTGGTGATCTGGAGGGATATCAGATGACTGACCTGTCATCGCAGATAAAAAGGTTTAGAATGTTCGAAGGGAATGTTCAGTTTGAAGAAGATGTCCTAGAGGACTCGGGAGTTTCAGGGATCCTAGACAAGTTGGTGTCGATGCAGTCTCAGGTATTTGTGAGTGGGTCCAAAGCTTGCAGCAAGACAAGGTGCGTTTTCAAGACAGTAAGCAGTAATATTTGACCAACGGCAGACCGACAGTTCCTCTTCGAAGCAAATAGTCGACTTTCGAGAGAGCGTAATGACGGATAAGGAAATAGCTCTAGACATTCGCAACGTCGTGGAGTTATTTGGAGAATGGTAGCGAGATAGGTTCCTGAGGACACATGAGAAGGAACGCGAAGGAAAGCATAGTATAGTCATGCATGCAACATGTTCATACGAAAATTTTGCGATCACTGAGGGATGCAAGTTCTAGCACTCCGACCGAACTTTACGCCTCACAATCAACCAGCCGCCTACTCTCTGGGTGCACCCCGGCCAACACCAGCAAATGATGGCCTGTAATCGCCAGGTGCGCCGCCCTCCTTCTTCCGGTAATCATCGCGGTCGCCGCGAGGTGCGCGGTAGGCACCCTCGCCACCGCCGGGGCGCACAGTCGCTGGGCGTGGGGCACGAGCGGCGCGCTTGTGAGTGGAAGGAACGATCTCGTTGGGGAGGTGTAGCCTATCGATGTGTGAGTCTGGGTGGATGTTGCATATAGAGGTACCCACCACTCCCTCAGATAGTCAACACCTTCAGGGGGTCAAAACGTAGTAATACCACTGCCACGAGAATTGGGTCTTAACGAGGCCCCGGGAGGTCAGGCTCTGCATGGCCTTGATAACCTGGAGGTTAGGGACATCGAGCTCTTCATGCTTCGGTGCATTGTAGTCTTTCTTGGCGACCAGGACACCCTCTGAGATCAATTGATAATGAGTTCTCGAAACCCATCGCAAGGCCGATATGCCAATAACTTACCCTTGAAGAGGTTCTCGTAGATGGTGCGCCTGTTTTGTTTGGTGATAATCATGCTGGGCTAGGTGATAATGAAACGCGAAAGCTGAAGATAATTCAAAACGAGTTGAATAACCATAGGAATCAAACGTACTGCGATGATGATGTCGCACTTGTCCGTCTGAGGGAGGCTAAAGTTAGTCATGTCATCCAACTGCAAGGTAACTCATCCAGCCATGGGGGGTCTCTGACACGCTTTTTTGCATTCTAATCCGCCCCAGACGGTGTGAATAACAGTACACAGGTACTCACAAGGATTTGACGGGCAGGAAGGGCCTTGATTTGAGTCTTGACGTCGAGCGGGACAGCGTACGCGCCTCTGGGAGTAGGTTTCGATGAGCAACGGCGGAGTGTAAAAATGTCCCAAAAAGGAACTGTGTAGAATTTACGAACAACTCTTGCGCTGGATCGAGACTAGAACTTGTAACAACTTCCTGAGATCTATCGGTCTGACTGGGAGATCACTCTAGAAATCGATGCGACTCGTTTTCAAGGCACGGCAATGAGATACAGCACATAGTGCTCGGCTACTACGTCGATACAAAACAAAAGGCGGTACAAAACATCACCGACACTAGTACTATCCACAGGCTCGAATGCACAAAAGCTGTTCCGAAAATCATGGCTGCTGAATGACGGGGCCCGGGTCCATGGTCCATTGAAAGTTTACCTTTCATGACCCCCTTGGAGCATATGGATCATCCTCTCGATGTCTTCTCCAGAGATTGGATCTTTTCCTCGACTAAACCACTCGCTCAAGCTGAAGTCGCTCACTGTAGCATTCGAAGGCGACCTCCACATATCCCCGTTCATGCGTCTCGCCTCCAATAGAATATCTTCCCACATCTTTGCGCAACCAGGTTCGTAGTAGGAGCTGTCCTGCCCCTCGAAAATCCTAAAATGCTCATTAGCACTGCCCAGATCGAGCATAGGTGATCGCCTACTTTGTTTGTTCTCTTCTGCGCGTTTCAGCGACACGTTTTTGTTTTGCAAATTCGGAAGGCTCTGACCTTTGACCGTGATAAGCCGCTCCAGTTGTGCTTGGGAAAATGGCTGGCGTATCGTCTAGCGATAACGATGTCTTCGATTTACGGTTCAGAAGGGGCGGCCTCTGTTGAACTCCTTCACCCGGATCGAGACTAGAACCCTCCAGAATGTGGCTTGCTGCAGGCTCTCGCACGCGTGACACTTCGGCAGCCCATCTGGTCACTTTGGATGAAACGTGTTTTGACCCTGTAGTCATAACATCCCTCGGGATGGGCGTGTGTAATGTCGTTGTACCTGTAGGCTGGTGCAACGAAGATACACGGGTTGCTGATGTTCCCAGAGACACGTTCGGCGGTATGACTGCTGACCTTCGCTCCGCAGCAGCTTCGGCTGCCCAGTCTGGGATGGGCTCGCGTGTCGAAGGATCTCTGTGAGCCGTTATATGATTGGCACCCGAAACCGTCCGAGGGGGGACGCTTCCATGAGTTGCGTAGGTGCCGGCAGAGCGTAAGGGCGGCAGCCCGTGGGCCCTTGCGATGGGATCACATTGATCAGCCATGTACTCCCTTGACTGGGTCGGGTCCGGGAAGTTCACATTCAAGGCACAGTCGCCTTGTTCCAGGCTTCGTCCAGCGAGTCGCAGAGGCGGACCGGATCTCGTCAACGCACTCTTCGTAGCCGAGCCTTGCGGTATAAAGGACGCTGCTCGATGGTCCGGACAGTTTTTGCTAAGAACCACGTGTGGGGGTCTTCTTGACTGGGACATTGCGGGGATGGACTCAGTGGCTCCCCAAACATCAATATGATGAATTGGTTCTGATGGTTGTCCTGAAGGAGCGTGGATGGATGCGGACAAGAGCCGGTGGAATGGTGCGTTCGTTCTCGATTTCGGAAAATCCCATATCTTGCTGGTTGATTCCTGGCCTGCAAGATCGGAGTTGGATACGGAATAAAGTTTATCGTATGTCGTTATTTTAGTGGAGCCTTCCTTTACTCCAGAGGGGCATCCCTTGCTGTTCGGAGCTGTTGACGGTTGAACATTTTGCAAAAACACCTCCGCAGAGGGGATTTTGCGAGGTATTGATGCCTCCGGCATTGTCGTAGGGAAACCACTGTCCCGATTGACATACTTTTTCCATGGAGCCGAAGAGGGGGGCACAAAGGGGACGAAAGCTGACTTTTCCGTTTCCATAGCTCCCTCGGGCATGAATATTTCATTGTCCGGCGCGAAGCATGTTTTATCGGGGCTGTTCTCTTGAGGCAGGACTGTTAGACTGTCAACTCGCCTTTCATCCTCGCCTTGAACACTCGATAATGGCCCAGAGGCCTCGCTGTGGCTAGGCGCCAGCGAACTCCGAATCTTCACCGTGGCTTGCAAGCTGTCCGGTAGTGGGAGCTGGACGGCCCTATGAAGATCGCCGGGGGATTCATCCATAGATGACGTAGTCCCTGGACAACGACTAGGAGCTTTCGGTTCAGGGACATCAATCACGACCCCCAGGTTAAGAACGTTCTGGTTATCATAGATACCCTCCCATTTTAGGGCACGAAGCACGGTGCTGCCAGGAATAGTCTTTTGGTGGGCGTCTCCTTCCGACAGTATCGGCTGCCCACCAGGAGCACTCTCCTTTGGCGTCAGGTGGTCAATAGGATACCCGGCTTTATGAGGAATCGAGGCTATTTCTTCATCTTCCCCAGAAGGCACTAGTGGCGGATAAGTGACTGGACTCTTAAGTTTAATCGCCCCTTCTACAAAATCCCGTGAACAGATGTCGTGAATCTCAGGTTCGCTGGCTATTGCATCAGGCAGGGTCGGATCAGGAGCGTCTAGTCTGATTTCGTGGTCTTGACACTTGACATGCAGCTCCTGTCCACCGGCACCCAAAAACTCCTCTTCATCGTCGACCTGTCCGCAAGATACATCGAGCAGGAGATCATCTGTCCGCGGCTCATCGGCGACGCCATGCTCGGAACAATCGTCAGAACTGAGACTTGCGTGCCCCAGGAGCGACCCGAGTCCTGCAGTCCCTTCGCTGATCTCCTCCAGCAGCGCACCAATATTGACGCTCTCACGTGAGCTCGGCTCCTCGTGTTCAGCAGGCGTTATGGTGATGGTCGGGATTTGCACCATCTTGGCTGGTTTTCTCTGCGCGAAATGGTAGATCGGCTTGATACCAGTCGCGATCCCGCGGAGGCAGGCAACGAGCAAGGTGTATAATTGGTGAAGGATGAAGAGTGGCCACCTACGTGCAGTCGCGATGAGCACGGTGGTGTGAGGAATAGCGCTAGATGTCAAGTGCGCAACCTTGCGGAGGCACGCTATCGCGCTTGTACCAGTGCAAAGACAGTAACCGAACGCAGAGGTTGCTGCTTTTTTGATAATAGGCCACGACCTACGGAGGGCAGCCTTGGGAAGCACTGCGATATACCGAGCGGCTGTGATACCTGACTCCAACATCTTATAGATCCCTCTCATAGGGCTCACTACACCAAGGTTGACCAGCAGTACATCACAAATCACAGCCTCCGAAGACTGTTCTAATGGTGCAGCGACGAGCATCGCGAGAACCTGTGCAGAAAACACCACCAATGTATGTCAGTTCGAGGCTCCAAACAAGCATCTTCAGGGGTATGAGGCTTACAGATAGCATGAGGTATGCTGTACTCAACGTGAGCGCGTACCGGACTAGAAGCAGCACAGGGCAGAAGGTGATGATCCGCGGGGAGAAGGGGGCGATTGCTTTGTCCTGCTTCTCGCCAGGCGCGGGCGCCTGCGGGCGCACCCAGGAAGGGAATATCACGTTGTGCATGCGCTTCTGCGATGGGTGTGGTGCGCCTGGGGGTGGACTGTGAAACCAAAAGGTGTCGCTAGGTTCTGCCAATGGGTCGAGAACTAGGATTGGAGATAGTGGTGTTGATGTTATGGTAGGTGGATCGTGTGAGATAATAGGTAAAGATGTAGCTGTTGATGATGGCTGAAAGGGAACCAAATCCTCGGGAATGACATTTCTCGAGTGTGAATGTGCATAGCTAGGTCCGAGGAGTAGATGAGGTGGGAGATATGGCAGGGCGGGCAAACTCTGCGCGACACGTATGCTGAAAAAGCGAAGCAGCGTGTCTAACAGAAAGGCCCAAGCAGCGGCCTTGATCTCTGAAGGGATCATTTTGGACGCCGATAGATGTTTATTTCGAGTGTGGCGTCGACTAGGTACTTGTTGAACTATAGATGATTGAGAGATAAGATGGAGTAATGAATAAAGACAACAAAATTGGAGAAGGGAAGGGTAAGCAGTTGGACACCGGAGTTCAACAAGTTGACGCGACGACATCACGTGATTGAAAATCAATGCCGTCAGGGAATTTGAGGTTTTGTTGAAGTCATTCAATTGTCATTCAACGGTACGTAGATGTGGGGTAATGCGAAGGTAACATTACACATAAATTGGACTGGTCGCGGAGATCAGCACAGTGCAAAGGTAGTCAAAACAACTTCCCCTTCTTCATTTCGGTACTTCCCCACACAGATTAATTTACACTCAGGTTTCTTTTTTACATGTGTTCATGACATGTTTTGAACACTCCGCCCTGAGCTTCTGTCCAGCATCAACTCATCAGCCCCCGCGAATGCACTCACTCTTCACCAATGAACGAGACAGTGTGGTTATAATATGGGACTGTACCAACATGCAACATTAGCATGACATAAAACAAAGCGAAATAAACCGAGAGATTGTTGAGTGCCGCCAGAGGGAACTTGGAAGTTTGTTGGAAGTAAGTAATGCAAGTGTGGAAGAGAACAAAAGAAGCAGTCAGTGAAATCTTGAGGGCTCATCTGGAATCGTTGAGTCCGAGAGCGAAAGTCCGGCTGGACAATTCGGGAACCACGTACTCCCGGACAGTCTAATATCATTTATTGTAATACCTTCGAAATACGACGTCCTACTTCCGTCCAAAATAGTAGGTTTCCTGGAATTTCCTTGTTTTACACTTGTTAGGTGTCTCGTCCCTCCCCACCTCTTCATATCTTCAGCAGTGGTGAACCTTCACATCCGCTGCACCCGGACAAGACTGATACCCATTTGATAACTTCCCGGTGTCCTGATGCCATCGCTTGCACGTCAACCGAGAACAAGGAGGGGCACGATATCCAGAAAGCGGCACTTACGGTGATATAATTGCAGGACATTACTGTTCCATCGCTATTGGTGCCATCATAACTGCTGGCCTATCAGTTACTTTGTTCAATCAAAATGTGTGGGTGCGACGCACATGCAAAATGTGACCTCGTTTTCTGTGAAGGTATTGTATAACCCCTTAGCTTTGCCGCCGACCTCCAATGTGGCTGGGCACTTCATACACGCATTGGCGCCAGCGAAGAAGCTGAGCCGCATAGCCTGAAACTTCCAGTGTAAACATGAATGCGTTGCTTGCTTCACTGCTGAGATGTCCAATGCTCTATTGCACGCGAAAACAGTTGAGCCAAAATGCATGACAATCTCTGCAGACTCAAGAAAAACTGCGAACCTCATGAGAAGTTGATGTGGAAGAGGGATGTATGGCACGATGGGGTCGTGCACACGAATGAAATTCCCTGGGCGGCCTTGGCTTCGTGTTGCTCGTCAGATATGTGCACATTCATTTGAGGTTGTGACTCGGACTTCCCAAACAACACTCTCCGTAATATGACCATCCTTGAATCGATGAACCTCAGCACAGCCGCCTCATATATGCCAAAACTCCTGCGCAACGTTTGAGTTTTGGTCTTCCACAAAAGGTTTGTGGTCAACAAGCCGAAATTTCGTGAAGGGCACGGTTGAAAAGTTTATAAACAGGTATTAACTGTTTATAACACCGGTAGAAAGTCACACCGTAATTTAGCTGTTGGAAGTCGCGAAAAATGCGGTCATGCAGGACCATCTCCGCCATCTGGACAACTTCATAGCTGAAAAATCGAGGCATGGGTACTGTTACGGAAGGCACGAGCAAGATCGTATATAAGGCTGATGTCGATTGTGGATGTTCCGGGGCTTTCTGCCGAGGATATGGTGCGGCAAGGGGCACCAGGCTGAAGATGACTATCGCTTGGGTTTTTTTGGTGTCTTTGGTAGTTACCAAGACCTCGAAGTAGGATGGATGTCATACTAATAGAGGCTGGCAGGAGGGTTGCATCGAAAGACCCAGAGAGCCAAAGTAGGCTAATTTCGAGAAGCTCACGATAAGAAATACGGAATCCGGAAGACAAAAAAACACTTGCCCTATCACTGCACCAAAGCGAGTGGGGAGATCGAACCGGCTTTCAGGAAACATTCAGAGAACGTCTCGTCAGATATAGTACCAGGGTTTAACAGTTGCTCCAGTGTCTCCCGACTTAGTTTGACGACTGTCAGTTAGCGGCATTCGGATTTACAAACACCGGCAACGAAACTCACCAAGTCAAGTGAGGTCACAGGTCGTCGGACAAAAAGGCTTTTTCAAGGGAGGCTCCTCAAGTGACGGTTAGAGTGAGGCTCAGCCTGCCGCTAGGCATCTGGGAATCGTTACTAAGTCAGATAGCACCAGGCATCGTGTCATCCACGGTCTTGGATTACCTCATCATCAATGGATCAAGGACCAGCAGCACTACCACAGATCATACCTTTAGACTTTGAATTTTCGTCTAAATCACCTTCAAGTATCATGATATGTCGTTCGAAACACCTATATTTTCATTGTCAATGAATTTCCATCTGCGCACAGACCACTGTAGAGCCTTGCTGAAGTGCGCATCTCATTCTTGAAGCTCGAACGCTGGCTGGGAAATCGCCCCCTTTGATTGCGAGGTCAAGAAGTCATATGGCTTCTTCACGATGACAATCGGCGCGAGGCATCCTTCTGAGCGTGGCGGGTAGTCATGGCTTGGGTCGAGCAGTAGGTCAGTTCATCATTCTTGAGATGTATAGAAGTTCAAGCAACATGATGGTCCGATGGAGTGCGGAGATGCAAAGCAAATGCAGTGACTCTTGATCAGCCCAAGTACTAGTCACTTCGGAAGTTGGACTTAGCTTCAATTAGCTTCGACGTACAAATTGATAGTTGCTAGTTGCATTGGCCGGTGGTGTTTCACTGGCCAGTGGTTCACTGTAGTCATATAAAGTCAAATAATGAACGTCGTCACGAGAGTACAAGGTATTGTAATGCACGGCAATGTAACTGACCTGGATCATGACCATAGCAGTGGCGGAATATCAGTGGACGGCGGGAATGATGAGCAAAGCATGAAAAGCAATGTCACCAAACAACGAGAACATGACAGTGTATAGGTGAATAGTACGTGACGGCAGTCCAATTTGAAAATGCAGAGGAGTCTGAAGCGAAGTTTAGAAACCGATGGAGAATGAAGAATTACAGGAGGTTCTGCAATAACTTGTAAACAGAATAGTGAGCCGCAGCATAAGTAAGGCAAAATAAACATACCATCTATTTCCTGCGTGTCAGACGCCTCAAGCGAGCGGTTGGCTTGGCTGGCCTCTCGTCATTGAATTCCTCGATGCGGCGCCTGATTTTACCTGTAATCCGGCAGCCTGGCAAGTTTCCCCTCCTGCTTTGTATTAGTAGTGTGCTACAACGGGACATGTTAGAAGCGAAGCTATGTAGCGGGGTAGTGAAAGATGAAAACGGTATAGAGAATTCTGCAAAACAATGAGGAGGGCCCGAGGGCTGGCGGTGCAGTGCAGTGAACTGTGAAGCAATCAAGTAGGGTGCTGGAGATAGTCCTAGAGATGAGCGGTACATGCGAAGTGCACAGCACTGACTTTGTGCTCGGGTCGGAGTGCAGGTAGAGCAGACTGCTTGGACCTGTCCTTGGCGCCAGCTAAATTTGCTCGAATGAGGTCGACGACTGCAGGATCAGCTACCGGTCTCACATCAAAGTTGAGTCGCCAGAATTCTCGACTCACACAAGCACCCACATAAGAAAGATAGCCAACCATAAGAAGGTGGGATCTGCACTGAATGAGCCGAAGACGAAGATGGATACTCAAGCACAAGTGGAAGCAGTGCGCATACAAGCAAGTTCGTCGGATTTTTGAAGGTCACTGATGAAAAATGTGTTGGGCAGAGTCCATGGTACATGATAAAATCAAAATCCTGGAAACTGCCTGTGATGAGGGTCATAAGTACAAGTAACGGGCGTGATCGTGATCAGATTAATTAGTCTCCGAACGAATGAGATATGCGCGCGCACACGTAAACGCGCTTGCACTCCGTGCATAGATACAGTAGTTAACGAGAAGGACTCGCCGAGCGGCGATCTTGACTGGCAAGACAAAAAGGGCGACACTTGTTGGGACTGGTAAGACAGACATGCAGGTCAAAACTACAAAGCAACATGAATCATGAGCTACCGTAACTTGTAGCGGAAGGGGATCACTTGGAGTGGCGAGATGATGAGGGTGGGAAGAGAAATTAGTTGGGGAAGAAGAGAGCCTGAGGCTGAGTTGAACGTTGGGGACTCGGTGGGGGAAACCTTAATTCTACACATCGACTTCAACTTTATATGACCCCAACAACGTGCAAAGAGGCGATACAAGATGTTAGGGAGTATACAACCCGGCAACGAGGTGTGTCCAACAAGCTATACTTGTCGGGTTGAATTGAGCAGTTTTTGTGATGTTGAGGCTTGAGCTGCAATTGGTTGATACGTGAGTTGTAGCTGGCGTCATAGAGATGACGTGACAAAGCTATGAAAGGAAACGTCGGTTTATGCCCGACAGCGGATTCGAGCTGGCATTGACCTTGAGGTGATACTTTGTTCCACCCCAAATTGCCCATAGACCTTGCTTGACAAGGTAACTAAATTATGGTCGGACCGTCTGTATGAACAAAGTCTGAGGTGGCAATCTGCTGGCATTGCAGATATCATCTGTTCGAAAGGGTGAATATTCAGCATATAAAAGCAAGCCATCTTTCCACTGTCCCCCTCAGATTTATTTGATCCCATATCACATCCTCACAAACAATGCGTTTCTCCTTTGTTCTCGCCGTTATTGCTGCTTTAACAGCATCAATATCTGCAGCATCAATACCTGCCAGTGACCCTGACAGGGAAAGATGTCCTTGGTTTTGCCACCTTGAAGATTGCTGCACTGCACATATATGCTTGCCGCACTCGGGCTTCCTCCCGTGGGTGAGTATGAGTAATTTGGGTCCTGGATTTAACCACATGACTCATCGGTGTGGTAGATATGTGTGGATTCAGTGAGTCTCATGCCGCCACCGTGAACTACAGTGAGTCGTGATTCCTGCTTTCGCATCGGTGCAGTATGGTTGATGGCACGATGCGTGAGTTTCTAGTAGCGAGTTGTAGGAGAGGACTCTGAATCGGATCGGTTAGCTTCGATGTCCTCGAGAGTATTCAGGCGTGAAAGAAGTGGATACATATAACAGAGACTCATTTTGTATCTCTGAGACAGAATGGAGAGAGAATATGACTGCTCAACACCAACGAGGTAGACGTTAGAAATGTGACGTGACAACTTTGAAGCTATCATAACATCGGGTAATATGATGGGGGCAAGTATCATGTCGGAGTGCGGGCGCGCAGTGCAGGAACGTGCGTAAGGGTGGTGGAAGGTAGTGGCAGACACGAGGGTGTGGGAGAGCACATGCAAGAGCGCACTAGAGCTGTTCAAGGGTTCGATTAATGTAAAGAAACCGAAAAACACTTACTGGGCGGCAGGTTCAGCAGGTTGGCGGCAGATGACAGAGGTGACAGGAGGCGTTGGAAGGTGGCGGGAGGATGCAGAATCAGGGTGCAGCAGGCAAGTAAGCCGGTAAAGTACGTTGGATGTCATTAGAGATTTGTCAAAAAAAAAAAGCAGGATAGAAAGAAAAAGAGAAAACTTGCAATATGCTAGGCAGCAGAAGGTGCGAAATGGTGGCGACAAGTGTTACCAGACAGCGGGCGTGCTGGAGGACGCCGCTGGAGAATGTTGCTAGAGCGTTGTGGTGTTGTGATTGTACGATAGGTGCCAGCTAGAGCTCGAAAGTCAATGTGCATGTCAGTGAGACTTTGATGAAACTCGAGTGAAAAAAATCAACCAAAGTACAAATGCGACCTACGGTAGTGCCGGCCTAAGTTCAGCTGCGCATCAATCATTCAATATCATTCGCCTCGTCAATTTTTCACGTTGAATCTTTGAAGGACTGTCCGACGCGAATATTTGCGCCGCACAAACAGACTGCGCTGTACAAGTTATGGCACGATTGGAAGTTATAGATCTGATCTGATTAGTCTTGCCGCACACGTCGAAACCAGTTGGAATATGCGGTAAGTACTGTCAAGGTACAAATGAAACCTCACCAGAGATCTCTACTCTGCAAAACAGTGACAGTTATGATACGCCTCTGACTCCTGTTAATCTGACGCGATTCTCCTGTATTCTCAACCGGCCTGCCGCGCTGGCAAAAACGCGCCGAAAGGCTGTCCAAGGCAAACGACCAATGCAAGTGACGTCTGTGAAGTCAAGAATGTCTTCCAGTAACTCCGACTTATGTAATACTTATTTGATGCATTCTGGCTTGCTTGAATGATGCAACACCTTTGCTTTGCCTCCCTAACGCTTCTTCTCCAGAGCATGCTCTTGCTCATCAACTTCGCCATATCCACCAGAATAATCAGCATCAGCAGGGGGTACCTGCACAGCGACACTGCCATTTTCTCGTGTCCCTTTCCCTTTTGCTCACGCTTGGTATTTACGACAGCAGGCATAGAAGCTAGCTCAAGAACGGCGAGAACCTTGCAGAAGTCGATCTCCAGCACCGCGTCATCCAGAACACGTTCTTGCTCTCATTTGGCCACTCCTTGTTGGTGGCCTTCACAGCTGGCTTCTACACTTGTGCACTCGTGCCAGGACGATACGTCGCGCCCCCGCTGACGCGTTGGATTAACGGGCCCTCCGTCACTGTTCCGTCATCAGAATATACCTTGCTTGATAGTCTTGTGATGGTCCCTACGTCTTGTCCTTCGTGATCGCTTTCGCTTTCCCCAAACTCGTCACCTCTACCTCACCCTTCAACCGCGCTCCTGCATCCTCAATATCAACCTCCTCATCTCCCTCTTCTCCACCCAGCAGCTCTCTCTGCTTCTTTCGAAGATTTTTGCTATCCGCTTTGCGAATCGGCACGGAATGCAAGTTCGTGCACCATGCACAGTTCCACGCGCCGCGCCGCGACCTCTTCGACTGATAGATGGGCTCTCTTTAAAGGTCCGATTCGAGCAATGTCCTGATCACGAAGTTGAGCGGATCAAGGAGGCTGTCTACGGCCAACTCGAGTTCATTCGATGATAAGAATTCTTTAGTGGATGATGTGGATTAAATGATCACAAGTGAGATTAACTTGATTTTTACTGCAAGCTCAGATGTTCTGCCTAGAAGTAAATCGCGAGTTAATGGTGGAATATGTTGATAGACTGGATCAATCAGTACCTGCTTGACGTCCTTCATCGTTGCACTCTACTTCCTCGTCGGTCTGCTTGTAAGCGATTGAGATTCGACATTCGCGGAGAAGTGGTGCTAGCAGGGTTTGTTTTGTTCGAGGTGGAAGTGAGAGCCTTTGTGGACTTTTTGACTGAAGACACCAGCGGAGTGAGGGGTCGTCTAGCTCAAGTGTACGCCAAACTCTCCTGCCGCTCCAGCCTCGGTGCGCTCCTCCGTCAAAGTGACATGTTTTTATTGTTATTCAAGGCATCGTGTGATCTGCGTGTTTTGACTTCTGCTGGATCCAGCGGCGAGAGGAAGCCTTTCAGTTCTGCGAGAGCTTCATGCACCGCCCTTGTCAAGTGAGGCGTGTTTGAATCGAACTTATTCTAACTTCCCCGGTCGACAGTCTAGGGAATATAGTAACGATTGGATTGTAGCATGGCAATGATGTATCTAAGTAGCAAATACATAATGTTTCATGAGAGCGGAGTCGTGAATGTAGTGAATGTAATCCTTCTGTAGGCCCAAAATGGCGGGCCACTCGCTGCAGTGAAAGAAGTACAAGTGTGTACATCTCGTTGTACTTATATTAATTATGACATGTACATATGTTGACGCTACCTAGAGGAGATTACTTAGCACGAAGACAGGGCAGCCTTCTGTTCCCGACACTTGTGATGACATGCCATGGGCGAAACGACTTAAATCGAGCTGCGAGGCTTGAGTGTGTGTCACCAGTTTGTTTCCTGAAAAATATACAGCTGGGTACAAGCGGATTGGGATCCGAAAGAGGAGCCACCCTTGGGGTCCTACAACCCATCCTTCTTCAGTCAGGGCGAGAAAGACTGGAGTGTAAGAATGTTGGAAAAAGGAGGAGGGGGAACAAAGAGCATGGGTCTGGTTGGACGAAAAACACATTGCAGGTGGTGCTGGTTGAGAATGTCTAGATCCCATACCCGGATGGTGTCATCGGATGAACCAGATATGATGTCCATCCGGCGAGAGTGCGACCGATCGAACGGAGCCCGTGTCCTCGGAGAGGGGCACCCACTGCCTTGCCAGTCTCCATATCCCACACCCGGATGGTCTTGTCGTCTGAACCAGATACGATGCGATGTCCATCAGGTGAGATCGCAACAGAGTTGATGGTGGCAGTGTGATCCCGTAGAGCGGCACCCAATACCTCGACAGTCTCCAAATCCCATACCCGGATCATTTTGTCAGCTGAACCGGACACAATGCGCTTCCCATCCGGCGAGATTGCGATAGAGTAAACAGAATTAGTGTGCCCTTCAAGAGGGGAACTCAATGCCTTGCCAGTCTCTGCATCCCATACCCGGATTGTCTTGTCCAATGAACTAGATACAATGTGATGTCCTATCTGACGAGATTGCGACAGACCGAACTTTCATAGTGTGTCCCTGGAGAGGGGCACCCAATGCTTTGCTAGTTGACGTATCCCACACCCGGACTGTCTTGTCCCATGAACCTGACACCATACGCTTTCCATCCAGCGAGAATGCAATAGACCAAACATGGTCAGTGTGGCCTTGGAGAGGGGCACCCAATGCCTCGCCTGTCTCCGTATCCCACATCTGGATCATTCCGTCGTATAAACCACACGCGATGTGTTTTCCGTCTGGTGACATCGCAACCGAGATAACCGCGGAATGCCCGTGGAGTATCCGTTCTATGAGAGGCCAATTTGCGACATGACCGGCGGCAACGCGGGGGGGTGCAAGGGAACTTTGCGGCGAACTTTTGAAATATCTTCGACTGCGTTGGAGCCAACGGGAGAGACGATAAATATAAATGTGGAGTGGAGTGAGTGTAGAGTGGAGTGTAAAATGATGGCCCCAAAATTTCGAATGAAGCGCTGGGTGTCCCAGGCAATGTCATAGGCGTGTGTATATTCGACCTGATCCTACGAGCATTCCACTTCTCGTAAGAATCTATCGGTCCTAAGAATGAGCTCGAGCCCCACGCCTTAAACCAATGTGTGATAGACGAGAGGCACCACACCGAGCCGCCGAGGCTTTTCATTAGAGACAGTGCTTCCAACCACCACAGGAGGCGCTCCCCGTCGAAGAAACCTTCAATTTCTTTAGCGAGTGACGTTTCGAATGGACATAGCTCCCAAATGAGTCCCCAAAATCGGCATGAATATCACAGCACAGTCGGAATAGACTCTGTCACTCGTTTCTCCAAGTCAGGGACGGCAGAATTGGGTAAGTAAGAATTCTCTAAAGAGCAGATGTTGAAGCGAAGTCCACGCTCCATAACCCGAAGCGAGGCAAAAGCAAGGTCACTCTGTACTGATGGCACATCAATGGAAGAAGTCGTAGAAGGACGCGTGGAAGGGACGCATGGGAGTTTGAGAGTCCATGGTCCCGGCCAAAAGCGAGCCCAGTGAGCCGATGACCTGGTCCACTTTGTACTAGCAAGCGGCTTGGGGAAGCAGCAGTTGCATGACAGTCAATACAGGTATGTGAAGCGGTTCCAAGTGATGCAAGAATCTGCCCATCACAGAGCGAAATATGGGCATCCCTTCCTCGCGCTCGTCCTCTGGCATGACAGTCATCCTGACTAAAGCCTACATCGATGATCCACTGGACTAACCCTGACCCGCTCTTATAGTTGTTTGCGACGCCCAAGATTTCCGGAACTAAATCATCGGACTCTGGACTCTTTCCGTGGAAACGACTGTTTGCATAGAACTTCGTGTTCACATATGTATCGTCGTGACTGATTTGGAACGAGTAGTCGCTGAACCGCCCGATAAGCCAGGAGACGATGCTTTCGCAAAGGGGGAGGGGGAGATGATCTGTAGTCCTTTTGTGTCTCGGAAGTAATTATATCTGTGTGTTGATAACGATCAGTGCGAGTTATGCTAGTGACTGATGAAGCTTACTTGGCTTGGTCTCTAAACTTGATTCGGAAGCAAACGCCAAGATTGTCGCGTACTCCGCTGTTGTAATATTCGGAATCATCTCGAAGGGTGTTAGAGATGCTCTCGTTGAGTCTGAAAGAAAGCTGACGATCGTGTCCTGTTGATGCTGTTGAAGTGCTTCGAGAACAGCAACACAGTAGTCTGAGCAATACTACTGTCAGATCCAAGGAAAGCGCTAAAAGATGAACGATACATACCTGTGTTCAAGTTTTCGAGATCACTGTCAGAGGCAAGTTTTTGTCTCAAAGCTATTGAGTCCCGGCTATTCGGGCAGTTCTACTGAGGAAGGCTTGAGGATGTTTGGCCTGTGGCCATCAACTTCTTCACCAGATTTCAAAGACATTGGTTAAAGAAGATAGGCGCAGACAATCTCACGACTTCGTTGAGTATGTGCTGAGGAGAATAGACTCCTGTCTACTAGCAAAGGCCATGGCGAGTGGGATTGACATGCGCGACTTGTCCGCTAGCAAAGTGTGACGCTTATATAAGCTGGAAACCCCTAAACGGTCCGTGACTGCTACCCCGACTGGTGCCAGGTCGTTATGAAACTTATGTTCGATATAGCTCTGACGGGAGCCCGCATGCTTTTTTTTCCAGGTCAATGTGTCAGTCTGGGTCTTTGCGGCCATTGTCATGTCTTTCCAGCCTTTCGGAGAGCCCAGAAGGTGGTTGTTGTCTAGGCTTCGTACCTGATTAACTTGGGTTATTTATGGGACACGTCACACTCGTGTTCAGACTTCATCATCGTTCGCGTCCGCTCGTCCGCCTTTCCAGACTGCGGTGTCCCGCTCTAGGCTGCAGATGCAGTTTTTATCCTGCTTCACATCATCATGACGTTATATTTTTCGACCACAAACTTAGGACTAACCACAATATACTGCGATACGCGACAAATGCTGTCGTGTTATGGCCTGAGGGTAGCTAGAGGTTCATATTTTTCACCGCAGTCCTGTTTTAAGTGGGAACACATCTGGTTTGTATCTGGACACATCAGCGAAAGCATCTGATTTCAAAAAAGAAGCTAGCAAGATACACTGGATCCTAGGAAGCTTGTGTAGCCGCACACTAGTAAGTAAGTACAGTCCCTACATCCACCATATGATAATAGAAGCATATCTATCTTGCGGTCAATCTGTGCACCTAAACACTGTCCAAGGAAGGAACATCAAGCACATTTTACATTCCCCAAGCATTCATACACTCACCACACGCGCCCATCCCCGGCTCTGTCGCAAACACCCAGCCCGCAAGGTCCTCATCGCTCATACCTTCATACGATGCATATCCCTTCTCCACATGGACGATAAACGCATCCACATCTTCTCGGTGCACGAGGGAGACGATGCAGCCGCCCCAGCCAGCGCCTTCAAACGCATCAAAATAAGAAAAAAATAGTGAGTATGAAAAAGAACGCACCAGTCACACGACTCCCATATACTCTCCCCTTCCCACGTCCCGTGTCCACCTCCCCAAAGTTCCGGGCGACTTGAACGAGGTCGTTCACTTTGGGATGGGAGCAGTCGAACTGCTTGTTGCAACTCTCGTGCGAGTCGTTCATAAGTTTGCCGAGGGTCTGGAGCTTGGATTCCTCGTCGTCTGTGGACGGGAGTAGGAAACATAAAGATAAACATCGTTGGGGGGACATATATATCGTCAGTTAATCATTATGGGACGGATAAAAACCCGTACCTCCTCCGCCTAAGCAAACCTCCCTAAACTGGAGTACTCTGAGTGCCTCTTCAAATACGTGCTTAGCACGAAGGTACAGCTCAAAGTGAGTTGTTTCGACTGATTCGCGATAGATGTCAGTATGAGCACGTAAGGTCAGACAAGTTAGAATTAAAAATAAAATAAACATCATCCAGAACAAAACGAAGACACCCACCATCTACCCACGAAAGATACACCTCCCTAAATTGAACTTCATCCATCCCGCTCATCTCAATCATCTCCTCCAGAGTGATGCTCGTTCTCCCCTCGACCTTGGACAACAAAAAGTCCAGGACATTCCCTTCCAAAATGTCCTCTAATCCTTTCCGCAGCTGCGCAAGATCCTCCCTTGGCGCATCTTGCTCATCTCGATGGAAGCCGCTCTTCCGCGCGAGGACTTCACGCAGAGTCACGAGGCGTCGTCTTTTGGTTTCGCCATCCGCGCAGTCGACTTGGAGGTTGAGATGATTTGAGAGGAACGCGTGCAGCTCCGAGCGTCTCGACGACTCGTAGGTTGTATTGGTGTTTAGCGCTTTCGGCTTTGTTAGAGACGACTAGGCTTTGGCCGAGATTAAATTTGCGAGGTTAGAATACTACGGGCTGATTGAACGCACCTGTTAGCACAGACAAACACCGCGTTTCGCGGAAGCACAATTGGCTCTGCATGGAGGGAAGGCACGAAAGAAACATATAGTGCGCTGCCAGGAAGAGCGATGACAGAGGCTGATTGGTCCATCCTACAAAGAAAATGAGCGGCAGGTTGAGTTAAAAATAAGGATGCAGAATACTAGATATCGAGAAGTGAATTGAACACACAAAATCTGCGCAAAAAAAAGTGATCGGGCAACTTGGACGGCACTTACCCTCCACTATTCACCCCAACCCGCCTCTCATTCTCCATCGCAATGTTGACCAACTCACCCTTTGTTGGTGCATTTTCTCCGTCAAAAATACCGTTGGCTGCCAAAAATGCTAGCGTACTCGAGACGACCATGGCCGCACTGCTTGAAAGGCCAGATCCTGGAGGTACGGTACCAGTAACAAGAATGTCAACAGGTACAGGAACGGGGCATGTGGATGATGGGGAGAAGAAGTGGTTCAATACGCCCTATACAGGAATTAGCATTTGAAAACGGAGCGAGGAACTGAAGTGAAGGTGCAATGGGGGTAGAACGGGCGTCTACAATGGATAAAGGGCGCTTCAAAAGCTGGAGAATGGACGTGAACAAGGAAAAACACATACATAATACCCCGCCTTGACATAACTCTCCCATCGTAACTCGCTCTTATCGATATCCAAATGCCAAGGGGCGACGCGCACAGCGTCTGGGGGGACATCATCGCCAAGTGTGTGACGGCGAGTGGGTGTGAAGACTTGACGGGTATAACGCGTCTGCAGGTTCTCGGCTACTACAGAGCCTGGCGGGTGGTGATCAGGATGAGCGGTAGCAGTGGACGCGGGCCGCGGAGCACAAGCAATGAGAATATCATGCTCGATAGCGGCTGGAAAGACGCCAAAGTGGGCGTAATCTATGTGTTCGCCTGCATCATGTGAGCTAACTTCGCGTCAATATTGTACCGTGAATAAGATGCCGTACCTATGAGGCTGCGTTATACGGGGAAGGAGATACATAAGTGACGGGAGTGGGAAAAGGATGGAGTGCGAACGTACTTGACTCGGCCGGGGGCACGGGCGACATAGGTGGGTTTATGCCCGAACTTGGTCTCGAATTCTCTGACGAGCTTGTCCCAGCGTCCTCTGTTCGTCGAATCCCAGTTCCCAAACATAACAGGTACGCAGTCCCAGCATTGAAGCGAAACCGAACATCAGAAATCAATACATAAGACCTAGAGCCGAGACTCACGCGTGTTTTGCGGCTATCGTTAGACTGCCATACAGCTCTTGCAGGGTGGTGAATATCGGGATTGGGGCATCTGCTGCTGGAAGAACTGTCATCCTTCTCTGAAAGAAGGCCACTCCAGCCCTGCCCAGCCTCGGGGCATAGCAAATCCGGACCCGGAGCGAAGGGGCCCGGATTTATTGATGCGCGTTTGCGTTTGCTTGTCCTTGTTGTGTGTAAAGTCTAAACTAATTTACCGGCAGTCCCTATGTAGACTTCAAGGTCTTGCAAGCTCTACCATTTTGTCTAACGTATGGAGAGCATGTATTCCGAACTTCCGCCGCAGCCCGTGTTTTCGACGCAGAGGCTGAGCTCATGCGATATGAATCAACTTATTCATTATGTACAGCGATGGTCAACTCGTTTGAGCAAATTTGTTCAACAGTACTGCGTCGAGCAGGTCTCAAGAGTCGACGTAAGTTCACTGCAGCATGAATGTTGTCCAGCCGCAACACGGATCTTGCCTACTCCACGACATCCGGCCTTGTGACAGAATGCGTTGTCGGTCCTGACACTTGGCAGATCATTTCATTCGCTCGCTCAAGTCACTGATCTGCAATGCAAGGAACCACCGGGCCAGAATTACACATTTTTGGGAATCACAGAGGTGATGCAGGGCACCATATGAAGTTCCAGGCTCCTACCGGCCCGATCGATCTTAGACACTCCGAGTCCTAAGGACTGGCAAATCCAACACAGCAACCACCCAGCTGGCTCGTATCCGTGATTCTTGTGCCTGCACCACTGATCATCGATCATGTATGTACACGCGCACACTACATCAAGAAAGAAGTTAATCAAACGAAGTAAGCATGGAGAACGAAGTCAAGAATCATCCATCTCCTCCTGGTTCCATCCTCGTTGGTAGATTTCTGCTATTTTACGTTCATTATAATTAATTGCATTCAATCCTTCTCAGCTGCCGTGCCCCTGTAACCTTGAATTTATCAGATTCTTGCATCCTGCGCGGCCCCTCTTGCGCCGACGTTCAGTCTTCCTTGTTATCACCATCGATCAAGCCTTCGGAGTCGACCAGAGTTTTTCGCTCATCAGTTCTCTTGTAGACCACTCGACGCCTTACAGACTAATTAGCTGGATCCCGTGGGCTGCTATTACGCCTGAGGCCCGATCCGCGGCTCCCAAGCGAGGTGATTATATAGCGACCCAGATCGATCACTCGCTTGCGTCAATCTAACCTACCTGCTCTTCACAACGCTCTCGTCTGCCCTGTCACCCCCGTATTGCAAACTTGCCGGCATGAACGGTCATGATCATCTGGAGATCCAGTAAGTCTAGAACCAGCGCCCATAACTGGTTTCCTTCAACTTGGATCCGAAGCGCTAACGGATCACGCTCTGTTGCTTGATCATACCTCAGATACCCATGGTCTCCATATACCCCGCCCATGTCCGCATGCACCGGATCATTGTCTCGTTCCTCGTCGCCATGGTTTGATGACACGCCATTGGTCGAGCGTGAACAAACTATTGTGGGTTCCTTGTACCCTATTTTCTGATCGTGGGGTTGATGCGACGCGGGTGATATTTTAGTGTTCCGACTTCACATGTTGCGGGTTGTCGCTGACAGACCTTCACTCATTGGTGGATCACTTTGAGGAAGCACATGTGGTAGTATTCGACAGCGCAGGAAACGCTGTGTACCCGCACCCCAGCCCGATACTTCGCAGTTTCGACCGTGAGAATGAGGGACCTTACATGAGTGTTGTGTTGGGTTATCCTGCGCCAAAGGCTCCTGTGGCGTTGCTCGACTTGGAACCTACGTCAGACTGTTCTTCGCCCTCGATCTCATCGGAGCCGACCAGTCCAATAGAGACGAGTTCAGAGGAAAGTGCACTACCAAAGTCTTTTGGGAAGGTGAAGAGTAAGGCAGTCCGCAGTGGGAAACGCGTCCATCAGCCTCGCCAACGAAATAAAGACAAGAGTTATAAGTGTCCCGTAAGTATGTCTCATTGCGCCCACATGCACGCCTCATTAATTTCCGCTGATTAGCGTCCTGACTGCACCAAAGTAAGTCTAGGCTTGGCGTATGTGTTCCAGACAAGGGTTGAAACCTGATGGCCACAGACGTACTTGAACGCAAACGGGTTGAAATATCACCTCGAAAAAGGGACATGCAAAAGTGAGATGCCGTTGCCGGAGTTCTACCGCTAGTCCGAGGTGAGCCAAGTTCAGCTGATCGTTGATTGCCCCCGCACCTATCATACGTGGATATCAAGAATTCCTCCGTATCGAGCTCGGGTAGTACCCCACACTTGGATTCCGCGGGAATACAGGGTCGAAAGTACTTACTGGTACAAGTACCGGTGCTACCGACCAACATCAGAAGAGGCTGTGCTAGCGTAGCGTACATATACTAATTCTGCATATTCGTTCGCATAGCTAGATATATTCAGATTGCGTTCAATTGAGTGAGCCACACTTCGCATTCAGCGTGCTGTCGCCTCCGTCTCTTTCGCTTTCATTTTCGGTATCTGTATCGAGTGATATAGTTACTTCGTATGTATTGTCGACCTTATCTGTCCTCTCGTTTCTCCTGTCTCATGGATTGATCTCACGTCGCTGTCTTGTTGAAAATCGGATTCTAGCTCAGACCGATAAAATAAAAATTTGAAGAATTTACCCACAAATAATTTTTTATGCGCAGCAGTCTCGTCACGAAGGATCTGGCAGATAGATTTACGTGGATTTTTGAGCTGGTGACCTCGCACATGATTTGGAGGAATAAGATACTCTAGGGTATGGAAATATAATAGTGGATAATCGGGGGTGTCAATATACATGAGGCCGGTGTCGTTGCGCTGGCGGTCGGACCGGGGACCCACAGGGCCACAAGGTGCAAATCGGGACAAGTGGTTTCAATGAAACCTCACTTCAAGTAGCTCTCTCTCACATCCTACTACCTACCTTCTCCATATTCCTTGGAAGGGACTTACAAGGTATTACAAGACTAGCCAGCGTCTGACAAGGCGTCTAGTCCGTTTTCAATCTATCCGGTAATACAAACACAAGAATTTCCCGCCTTCCAAGAACTCTTGGGTTTTTTGGCAGGTCTTCTCGTGATTTCAAGCGTGCACCTTGCTTCAATCCAATCTCCATGCTAACATCTTTTCCTGCTCCTGTTCTTTCTGTAACACCCGATGCAGTGAAAGATCTACAAGGACATGAAGCTCTTTCCGCTCTCTGGACCCGTAAGTACTCTAAAATATACGTTATCGCTTCAATTACTGACAAATCTGTCTACCTAGTTTTCGCAAAGTGTAAAGAGTCTCTTCAGGATGGTCGCCGCCTTGAGAATATATCCTGGAGGCTATGGCACCGTGAGCTTATTCTAGCTCAACAGGCATATCAGCCTCCAACACCAGACTCAGTATCACATATCAATGTATCGTCCGATACCCGCAATTCTTTCTTCTCCCTTACCGACCCTGTAAACCTAGCTCAGCCTTCAGGTATGTCCGAGGATCATTTCCTTTTTCGTACTTACTCATCTCGCCTTCTCCTCCTGTTCCGCACATGTAGGCACTCCCCCCTGCCCGCATTCAACATCTATATATCAACATCCTCTCTCCCCTACATCTACAACCAGTCCCGTTGTACCGGACCACCCCTCCATACCCAAATTATCATCAGGTACCCCCGTAGCACCGCCTCTCAGCACTTCCTTCCGCCCCAAATCGTCTCCATTTGTAGGCCGAATAATAATAGACATGCTCCCAAATAATGTCATCATATCTGACAAGCCGTCCCCGCGACAACCCACCGTGCCATCCGTCCAACTGCCCTCGACCCCTACCTCTACAGAAGCTTACTTTCCTCGCGTCGTTGTCGTCAACCCCACGCCCCAACCCACTCCACCGATGACGCCGTCCCTCGATGATGATCCACCTGGTACTTCACAGCCATCATCAACGTTCCTTCTACCGCCGCTTCCCCCGCCCGTACTAACCATGAAACGTCAACCGCAAGCCCTACAGCCGCTGCCGCAGTCACCGCCACCAGACGAACTATTACCGTTGCTTGCACCTGCCCGGGGTGCGGAGTCTTCAAAGACATCCGGAAGGTTTTTCTTGCAGCAGAGCCCCGAGGACGCGTCCCCGGAGCGTGACGGCTCGACGGAAAGCGGGAAAAGCCCGAAAGATCTGTTCGATGCGTTGAGCGCGGCTTCAAGTCAGATGCTAAGCACTGATGGTGAGAAAGAAGTAACGAAGGAGCTGAAGGAGAAAGACCGTGCAAGTGCTAAGCCAAAGAAGGGAAAGGAATTGGGTAGATCGTCTGCCCGGCCCTTAGCGAAACGGTCTCACTCGGCGAGGCACATCGGGCCGTCCATTCAGCGCAAGCTTTCGAATCAAGATAATAAACCTCGTGCAATGTTTAATATTGGTTCGAACTCGTCCAACGGGTCCAAGTCTGCTAATGGGAGCTCGGCTAAGCCCACCCCGCCTCCGCCTCCGCCTGTCCCTGTGGTCAATGGATCGGTTGCTCCGCTGAATGGATTGGGTGTCCCTCTGAATGGAATGACGGCGATCAATCCAAAGCTTGTGCGGCCGACTGTTGCTCCTCCTGCGAATGGCAATATCGTCAACGGGAACCTTAACGGCGCTGGCAATAGCAATGCTACTGTCAATGCAAGTAATGGCGCGGGTCCCCAACAGCGAAAAACCATCGTTGTCGCTAGCACTTCCGAGGAAGACTATGAGACCACTGATGCGGACGATTCTGGATGGGCCTCTGAGGACATGGACGCTGAGGACAAAGCCCACGAAGCCAAGGACACTGGGCTACGTGGGGCTGCACTGGAAGCTCAGCGCCAGCGTGACCTCTTCGCAAAGGTTCCCAAGCGTTCATACTCGGGTCTCAACCGCTCGCAGTCGGGACTACTTTCCCAGCTCATGAACCCCAACCCTGCGATATTCCCGCCGACTCATCCGTATCGTTTGAGCCAATCGACAGCGGATATTGTGCGGATGCAGCGCCAGCCTCAGCATGTGCAGGTCCCGCAAAGGAGTAGTAGTGGGTTTGCGGGGCCTGTGAGGCTGCAGACGAGTAAGAGTTCGGCGGCGTTACCCCTGGCTGCGCAAATCACTGCTATGTCGAGCTCGAAGCCCCCTTCGTCTGGAATGAAGGGGAAAGAGAGCGAGAAAGGGGGGTATAGGCCAAAGGGGCGCCCGAAGGAGGAAGAGATGGAAGATGAGAGTGGGGAAGATGACGACGATGATGACGATAAGATCCAGGTGTCGCGCAGTGTGGCACAGCAGAGGCTTCAGGCGCTAGTGTCACGACGCGCACCGGAAAACGGCATCGCATCGCAACTGGCTCAACATACGCGTGTAGCGGAGAATCACGCCGCTCCTGTTGCACAAGCCACTGCACCTATACCCCTCAGTCACCCATATAATCTTCCTGCTCCCGCGCTGCCTATGACGCCTCGCACGACTCGTCGAATAATGCTTCGGCAAGAGCTGTCAGAGAGCATGCGGAGGCAATTACTGTGGGAGCGTCAGGTAAGCAGTACCACCAACCCAGCTGCGACCGCGAGACGAGCGAGCAATGGCGTGCTCAATGGGTTGCGACCGCTTGCTTCGACAACGTCCATGGGCGAGCAGAATGGCGCCACAAAGAGTGCAGAGGCCCAGGATAAAGATGAGCGTAAGCGACGCGCGATGGCCCGAAATCGAAGTTGGGCGGACGACTACCACTACTCGGGGTGGTGATTTTCTTGTTGGACTCTTCTGCCAACACGTGGATCTTCTATGATCTTTATGGGGTCTGTTGTTTCTCATCGTCTTGCCCTCTAATAATGCGGCACGGTTGTGTTTTCTTCTTTCGTTTTCTATCGTACTTTAGCACGCGCATGCTCCTATCTTTGCGAACATGTTACTCATGCTGCAGGGTGCCCTCCTCTGCCGCGCGTTTCCTTTCTTCATGCTGCGCTTCCCGCCACCCACCCTTCCTCATATCGTTGCATTCTCACACATAATTTGCACTTGCATGTCATACGTACTCCGTCATCCTCGCTGTCCATTTACGTTGTAATAGTAGTCGCCGTAATTACCAGATAGTTATTCCTATGGATTAGGGTGTTGTGTTCAATTTGTTTTCGAACCCTTGCCTCATGTACTAATAGTTGTAGGGCGTATCCCGCCAATTGTATACGATGTCGTTTGCTAGCCAATTGCAATCTGCGCCGCGTTTGTAAGGCTTGGGCTATGTAGTCATAGTCAGCCAATTGAAATCGTTCACAGGCACCGCCAGGTACCTCCCCCGCCAACCCCCGCCAACCTCAAGTCAAACCAAAGTCAAACCAAACCGCCGGGATTGTATTTCCCGATTTGGTGTCGGAGTAGCAAACCTAGCGGAGTCGATTTTTATTACTTCACCGCGGAGATGATCTACTATAACCAGCCAGTATCAAGAATATCTGATAGAACCATCTAATCAGATCTAACCCCGCACGAGCAGTAGCTCCCAGTTTGAAAAAACGCGATAAATGCGTGCATAAGACCGCAAAAGCCAAGTCAGCAGCTGTCAGCAGGTTGTCTGCAGCAGTCATATGAATTACGTAAATTTCCACAGATTGAAATTGGGTCGTGTTTGTTCCCAATAGTGCATAGTGCTATGTATTGGATGCGCTGCAACACCAGCGCGACTCTTGATCTAACGATGATCTATCTATTTGTAACTTTGCAGTAGGATGATAAGTATACAGTACAGTTACTTGAAGTATTGATGTGAGTCAAATGGTCAGGAAACTCGTGATGCTCGCGTGCCGAAGGGTTACGAACACCTGTCGGCTTTATTCTCTCAGGTCCAAGCTTGTTTCACCACGTGAACCATTGATAGTAGTGGATATCCTGTGCAACACCCGCACGTAAGGGTTCCAACCCAATCCATCATCATGTCATCCGCAGAAGACGAATTCAACGAGCATGACAATGCCCTGGCAATGCCAGGGTCCAAGAAACGACGAGTGCAGAGAGCGTGTGATATATGCAGACGCAAGAAGAGTGAGTTCCGCTTCTCTTGGATAGTACAAAGTTCTCAGTTGATTTTTCGGCGTTTGATGTAGTTCGATGTGAGTAAGCTTTCATTACTGTCTGCTCCCCGTGCTCCGAGTAAATTTGACCATTTCTTGTCTTTGCTATTTTGGCTTGGGGTGCACGCTTTCAGGCGATGGAAGCCAGATGCCAGGCCACAGATGTTCTAACTGCATTGCGTATAATTTCGATTGTACGTACGTTGAGGCTGCAAAGGTGTGTTCTCCCTCTCGATCTTCTGACTCCTCGAATGGGGCCTGATGCTCCCTGTCATAGAAACGAGGTCCGCCAAAGGGGTGCGTGCGTTTCCTGCATTCGTCCGAGGTACTTACCGTTATCAATTTCAGTTATGTCGAGAGCCTGGAGAATCGCTTGGAGAAGATGGAGAACCTTCTGCAAAAGGTCGGTCTGTTGGGTAGATACTCTTCATGATCGTCGCTGATTTCTTCTAGCTCTGCCCTGATGCAGACTTCTCTCAGGAACTTGGAGGCGGTCCTATGGACAGGGAGACTTGGCAAAAAGGCAACATGAATGGCTCAACCAGCCATGTCATGACCCCTTATGCTGCCACTCCCCTAGAAGACCTCGTATCCAGTGATGATGACGAGATGGTATCCGTTCGCCTCGCTGATCATATGCAGAATATGTCTATCAATCCAATGCAAACCCGCTTCTTTGGAAAATCGAGTGGCATCATGTTGGTCCAAAAAGCTATCGACCTCAAAAAGGAGTACACCGGCGATGACGAGATACACCGACAGGACGTTCTCCAGCCAAAACGCCCAGAGTTTCATGGATGCTTCCCTGTGCGTTTATTTAGTTGCAGTCAATAGGTTTTATCTCTAATATTGACATCTCTTCAAGTGGGAGAAGTGGGAGCTGGCAGCTAAGCATATTGTCGAGCCGAGCTATAGCTTTCCTCACGAAGATCTCGCTACCTCCCTTGTCGATCTCTATTTCACACATCTCAATGTTCTAACTCCGCTGTTACACCGGCCAACCTTTGAGCGCAAGGCTGCGCAGGGGCTGCATCGCCGAAACTCATCATTTGGGGCGGTGTACCTACTGGTTCTTTCCGTAGGCTCAGCGCTTCTCTGATGATCCCCGCGTCCTTCTCGATGGCGAAAACGAACATTCGGCGGGATGGAAGTTTTTTGAACAGGTACAGATGGTCAGGAAGACCCTGCTTGGACCACCGTGTCTGGAGGACCTCCAAGTGTATTGTGTGGGTGCTGAGCCAACGCTCCTTCATCGGATTACTGACTCGTACCTAGCTATCTGTGCTTTACCTGCAGGGAACTTCGGCCCCTCAGGCATGTTGGACTATTGTTGGGATTGGCATACGCCTTGCGCAGGATGTTGGTGCACATCGCCGCAAGGCTTACGGTAATAAGCCTACCGTCGAAGAAGAGCTTTGGAAACGTGCATTCTGGTATGATTGGAACAATTCACCGTCGCGATGACGTCTCAAGGTTGTTCCTCAGGGTTCTCGTCAGCCTAGACCGATTGATGAGCTCTTCGTTGGGACGACCTTGCGCAATACAAGGATGAAGAGTGGGTTCATCTGCGCCACTAACAACTGCAGAACTGACACAAATTATAGCTTTGACCTCGACCTACCTGTCGAATGTGATGACGAGTACTGGGAGCACCCGGACCCGGACCAAATGTTCAAACAACCTGCTGACAAACCTTCTCTCGTATCGCACTTTGTCAATTTCCTGAAGCTTAACCACATACTTGCATTTGCCCTTCGCACTATCGTATGTACCTCTTCTAGTTCACGAGTTCATGACTAACGAAGTGCTGCAGTATTCGATCAACAAGCTAAAAGTCCTGCTTGGATTCGTTGGGCAGCAATGGGAGCAACAAATAGTTGCAGAGCTTGATTCTGCGCTTAATAAATGGATCGACGCTGTTCCTGATCATCGTATGTGCCTTAGCTTAGACTTCGTTATCGCCGCAGCTAACTTCTACGACCTAAAGTCCGATGGGATCCGAACAGGGACATTAATGACTTTTTCTTGCAGTCGCATTCCCTCTATTCGAGTTACTATCATGTCCAGATCCTCATCCACCGCCCATTCATTCCGTCGCCCCGAAAACCATCTCCTCTGTCATTTCCTTCCTTGGCGATCTGTACAAATGCTGCTCGTTCTTGCAGCCACGTTATGGATGTATATCGACGGCGATCTGGTCAGTCGGCGCCTTATTCACAGGTGCGTTTTTCGATCGGATCGCTTGAATTCAGTACACATTGAGGTTGCTTTAGATGCCTGCGTTCACTGCAGGTATTGTCTTGCTCCTGAACATCTGGGGTGGAAAACGCTCCGGACTGTACACTGATCCTACGAAAGAGATGGCGGACGTGCACAAGTGCATGTCCGTACTGAAGGTGTGCGAAAAACGGTCTGTCGATTTTTACTGCGCAAAGAATGTCTCTCATTGATTCCCATAGCTGGCACACCGCTGGTCGTCTATGGTATGCACATTTTTAATCTATGTTACCAGTGATTCTTAAATCATATGAAAGGGACATCCTGTATGAACTGGCATCTGTCGGTGACCTTCCGCTACCCCAGCCTAGTCCTTCTGGCGGAACGAAGCGTGAACGTGATTCAGATAGTCCAATATCTGCTCCCCCCACGACTTCACCGCCGTCAGACGTACCCCGCACCATCGCAGGATCGCGCCGCATTGGACGCGAAGCAGCAGCTCAGTCTCGCTCGAATCCGCTGAATTCATTTAATCTTCCGCTCTACAGCGATGATCTTGGACGCCTCCCGCTCCACGGACAAGTAAACTTTGCAAACACATCCCCGTCGCTTAGCTCATCTACGAACAACATGTGGTATCCTCACGTGGGTGGGAACCCGGTGCAACCGCACGCTACACAGACATCTATGCAAAACGTGGTCCCGCCTCAAGATTATTCACAGACCGCTATTCCTGCCTACAGTATGGATGATATGTTCTATGAGCAGATGAGCCAGTACTCGGCACAATACCAGCCACAAGGGACCGCTACTACTTCGTCCTATGATGACGACGCTCAGGGGCTGCAGACTCTCATGAATGGGACACCACAGCAGAATGTGCTTTCGCACCCTGGTGCGAGCATTATGGACACGGACACGATTGCCATGTGGTCCAATGCTCCAACTGGTTTCGAGTGAGTCACACTCGTTCGGGTAGGTTGGCCGTTGCTGATGAATACACAGACTTAATGACTGGGGAACGTACATCACGAATGTATCTGGGATGGTAAACCCTGATGGTTCTGCTTCACATTCGAGACACGGGCCGTGAGGTGGAAAACCTTGTCCTTTTTCTTTCTTTCTTTCTTGGATTTCTTCTTTTATAGACGTGCGATACCATACCCCATAATGTAGTCATATTTACGAGAAGTACTACCACACGTACGAGGCACTGCATAGATCTTGCAAACACGAGGCGGGAGCATCTTATCTTAATATATATGCTATCATGAGCCCAACTCGCCTCAGATCTCCGTAGCCTTCCCGCAGATTCAGACACATGACAAGAAGTGCATCAGGAGAGCGGGTGTCCATGATCCACATGACACGTAAGTCGGTTTCCCATAAACAAATGAAACAAGACTAATACTTGGTTGAACCAATATCATCAGCGCACAATTCTGAACTAGTTCTGCCGTTTCCATTTCCAATATGTCGACTCGCATTCCTCTTTTGTTTGTAAGGAATTTAGATGTTTGATTTGACTATCGCGCTGACCCCGAGGAAAGGGGACGATGACCATGGGGTTCGAGGGCCAGAACGGAGTGCGGACGTCCAGCGAGAAGGACTGTCAGGAAATCCTGGACGTCTTCTTCAGTCACGGTCATACTGAAGTGGACACCGCACGGATATATGCCGAGGGGACCACTGAACAGGTGCGGTGCTTGCATGCAGATGTTTGAACCCTCGCTTTAACCGAATTACTGCCATCACCAGATCTTGGCCCAGCTTGAATTGAAGAACGCGACGATTGACACGAAGTGCGTCATATGCAGTGGTTTGCGCTTGTGAACCATGTGCCTGATTTGTTGTAGAGTGTACCCTGTCACTCCGGGGACTCATAGCCCAGAGATATTGCGGTCTACTTTCCTCACGTCGCTTCAATGTCTGAAGCGTGACAAAGTCCGGGTCTTATATTTGCATGCTCCCGATCGTAGTGTTCCCTTTGAGGACACTGTACGAGAAATCAACAAGCTCTATATGGAGGGTCGTTTGTGAGTGTCCACTTCCCTTCGAGCGATTCTGTAATCCATGGAATCTGACTGGTATTAGCGAGATATTTGGTCTGAGGTGTGTTTTCGTGGAATTCTCTTGCCAAGTTTCAGGATTAAGCCATGAAACAGCAACTTTGCAGCTTGGGAGGTTGCAGAAGTTGTCGGAATTTGCAAAGCGAATGGCTATGTGCTGCCAAAGATCTACCAGGTGTTCGTACAACTGTCCAGCTGTGAGAGAAGGGTACTCATGAGTGCACGTAGGATGTACAACGCGATCACCCGGGAGATGGAACCTGAGCTCCTTCCTTGCTGCCGGAAGTATGGCTTGCGTCTCGTTAGCTATAACCCATTAGCGTGAGTGGGGTTCGAGAATCTTATTTGGAAAGGAAGCCTCAGCACAGAATGTAGTGGTGGTCTCTTTGCGGGCAAGGTGCTTTCCACGGAGGAGGCAGCTCCCCAGGGTGGTCGCTTTGACCCGAAGTCGAAGATGGGCCAGATGTACCGAGCACGGTATCTTACGGAAGGCTACCTCAAAGCTCTCGAGGTTGTGAAAGCCGCTACCGTATGTCTCCCTGCTGCGCCATGTCCATATAACTAATGAGTCGGACAGGACAAACATGGTCTTCGCCTTACGGAGGCTGCCCTTCGTTGGTACCAACATCATTCTTTACTGACACCAGAAGATGGTATCATCCTAGGCGCTAGCAGTGCAGCGCAGCTAGAGCAAAATTGTATTGACTCGGAGAAAGGACCCCTCCCACAGGATGTTGTTGATGCACTTGACGAGGCTTGCAGGATCGTGAAGGCTCACGGAAGCACCCCGTTATACTGGCGTTGAGGGCTCTTGGTGCAGTGGAGACATGCCAAAATTGTAGTAAACTTGGCGACTATTGAAATGGACGTTAGTACGAGTGTGAACTTGGTTGACTACGACAAGGGCAAGATAATGGATTTCAACGAACATCGACACGGCGTCAACTCGCATAGTGATCATACTCTACACTTTTTCAAAACACACGACACCCTTGAAGAACATGGGGAAAATCAGGTTCAGCGTGAAGGAATGTTCGATGGATACGAAAGGCTAAATTAAATCCTCCTAGTCTCCTAGACAAAGAATATGCCGTCTATAAATGCAGATCAATAAAATTCCACGAGCGAGAACAAAAATCCATACCACTTCGGGACGTTCACGGCCATCTGCGCGACATCTTCGACCAATCCTTGATCAAGACACAATGAACGACCCGGTTCCACGTTGTCGGGTTTTCCGCTCCCACTCCGCCACCTTTTGGACAGTGTCATTTTCGTATTCCGCACAGAGTTGTGTAACGGTTGCACCACTCTATAGCGTCCGTTCGTATACCATTGGTTCCTGACTGTTTCGAAACGTCTAACTCCTGACTACGCTCATTAGCTTCAATTGTTCCACAATATATTCGGTTCTACTTTGTCTGCCATTACACCACCAACTACCATTCGGGGCCGAACCAATATAGTGCAAAAACCATGTAAGCGGCCTGACCAGGGGTTGGATCTTGGCTATAGTAAGGTTTTGGTAGAGAAATAACACACTTATAGAGTGAAGCAGGCAAATAGAGGCTCTGTCAGTGCATTTGACCTGATATCTGGCAAAGACAGGAAATAGGTGTGGTGATCAGAGGCGAGCGGATGCGGGAGAAATTGGTCTAGTAGAATAATGCAAATCTCGGTCTCTAAACGAACTCGTTATTTGAGTACTGTACCTACAGTTGACATGTTCACATTGCATATCGTAACTATGCATAATATATGTTGTAATGTATGGACTTTTGAGGATCCCAACATGGGCGGGCTGAAAATGCAGACATAATGCATAACACATAATGCATTGCTATTGTGTGCATGATATGCATTATCAGAGGGTTGTAATTAGGGCGATGGGACATAAGTGGCACCCGAACCATTGTTCTCCAGCATTGTCCTGCTCAGCTATGTAAGTGTGGAATGGGTATGATGTCCTGTACCTGTAAAAATGTCCCTAAACCTGAAATGCAAGCCACGCGATAAGCCCACTGCATACACTCGACCTGCAAAGAAGCAGAAGATCACAAATGACACTCCTCATTAGGGTTTAAAAGTCCGGTTGCGCAACCGGTCAAAGACCGCAGACCGAACCGTACTGCAACTTTTTAAGACCGAATTTTCGGTCTCGGTTTCCCTTAATTTGACATCTTGCAGTTGCCGGTTGCCTTGTTTGACCTCTACTATCATTCGACGGGAAATGCACAATTTTCACTTATTGCTGAATAGCAACACAACAACAACACATATTTGTATCGGATCTACTGTAGTGTGTACCTTAGGTCTCTGCGCATTAGGCCCAACAAGAATTATTTTATTTTATTGTGAGCTTGTTGCAGTGGCAGCACTGGAAGTTGAGATGTCGAAAACACAATAGAAATGCACAATTTCGTCACACCATGTCACGTGTGGCACCTCGGCCAATACACAATGATATCCAAAGTCCGACAGCACGCAAAGCGAATGAAAGTCCAGTGTTGGCGAATGCAAACAAAGCGGAGACTCAACCAAGCCAAGAGTGTGATTTCCCAATCTAGCCTGACTGTCATGCTTTGCTCATGAACCATGAATAGCACGCTGTGGTGGTGTTCTATTGACATATAAACACCTGGAGTAGATTCAGAATGGTGTATTTCACATATGTTGAAGTTCTTATGTTGATAGGTTAATGGGATCTGGGTGGATCTTGGATTTAGTGTCTAAAAATCACTCATTTTGGGTACACTCGCACAATGTTTCATCTCGGGAAGGCTTCACAGTGCTGATTTTAAATATTTGATTTGGTAGTCTTATTGAACATATGCTAATACTTGTCCTCCATCTGTTCCGAATGAAATATATGTAGAGTGGTGAGCTCTGGAGTGCATTGTGCATTACCCATCGATTGTGCATTGCGAATCAGGTGATAGTAACATCAAACCGATGAAAAGTCGACCACAACCGGTCTATACCAGGACCGGTTGCATGAAACACAAATATTTACCTATGCAAATGAACATGACTTGGATAGTACAGACTACTACAAAACGGTCTCGACTTCGCCAGCTTCGTTCTCCCACTGCACCATGCCCTCATCCACAAGAAGGAAATCTTTGTACTCATCTAGCAAAACTTCCTCAACAATACCTGAGTTTGCTTGAGCAGAGTCAGCAAGAGACTTGCACCATGAGAATTTGAGCATCTGTAATCGTTCGAAGCATTCAGCACTGAGACGGGAGCAATGGTCAGTGGTGGTCTCCGCACCACCTGAAAAAAAGTTGTTTGCAGGGTACAGATGATGTCCAGCTTTGTCTGGTGCTATAAAGAGTCGGTGACATGATCTGAGGTGTTGGGCTGGTCCAAGCATTAGCTCGGGGTGGGATGCAAGCAGGTGGAGCCACTGGGAGGGCGGGAAAACCTGCTTACGAGTTTGATCATGTGTGGACTTCTTGAGCAACAGGCCAAGGTAATTGATAAACTGACATTTGACAATTATATCATGTTGACAACGAGATTAAAACAAAGCAAGAGACTATGGTTCATAATTAAGGGGAGTGGTGGGTGGGAGCAAAGAACAATAGTAAGTACAAGTGAGGATGTGTGAGCTATGCCGAACTCGACGCTGATGGACAAAAGAAAAATGAACAAAGAAGAAAATTGCACATCCGCTCAGCTGGACATGTGGTGCCGGGATACTCTGGCAGGCTATGTAACCTGGCACCTGTACATCACCTGCAAACACGTTGTATAGTAGTTACTGATTTTGCCCTATGTAGACTTCCGGAGCGGTCCTAACCAGTTGTACGCAGTTACGGACTGGTTGCATCTGCAACCAGTCAGCAACCAACTGTGAACCTCATTGCTACTGTGCTTGACTGGTTTCTAAGAGTTCGGTCCAGGTTGCAGTACAAGGTTGAGTTTATGCAGACCGGTTTGGGTCCGGTCTTTTGAAAATTGGTCAAAAGACCGGACTTAACTGGACTTTTAAACCCTGCTCCTCATACATCTGCTCGACCTCCTAATAAATGCTCAAATTCACGTCAAAATCTCACTCTTGCTGACTGGCTGTCTGTCTATGCTTTTGTTGATGCTCATCCTCATACCAACCAGGCTGACTGTCATATACCAGATCCAACTGCTCTGACAATATTGATATCCGCTCCACCCGACCCTATACCCTTTCCGCTTTCCCCCCACTTCTGCTCCACCTGCCTCTATTCAATCCAGTCAGTCTCTGCATCCACTCCTGTTGTCATATACCAGATTCAACCACTCCCAATACCATTCATAGATGTCTCTACTGCTGGTCCGGCCCCCTGTTTCCCCATCCACTCCATCCCTCCTTCTTCAACAAATGCACAAAACTCTGCTCCACTCCTCTGACACTACCCCTATTTCCTCTGACACTATACCCCTACCATCTGACCCTATCTGGAGCTCCACTCCTCCACCCTATTGGTCCGCCTGATCCTACTCCTACTCCCTCCACCATCTCCACTTTTCTGACCCACTTGGTTCCTTCAGTTTCTCTTGTGTTGCTCCACCCAACTATTGGTCTGCCCAACCACCTCACTGGTCCACTCCTAGACTAGGAACCACTCAACTGGTCCTATCTCCTTTTAGTATCATAGTTCCTCCTTTCAGATCACCGGTAATCCTTATACCCGAGTGATTATTGATCCGTTGCATACATACTGTTCTCCGAGCCTCTTTCTCATATGTCTCAGTCATCTTTCTAGTAATTCTGTACACTCAGCACATAGCCTTCCGCTATGCTATGCTACTTACTTAGAGTATATAAGCATATGTACATCTGTCTGTAGATCTTCAGTCTGAATATTACCTTTTCTAAGCCCTGTTCTTCTGTCCCTGGACTTGAGCTAGCTCTTGTCATAACTCCTGTTTGCTGGCCTAGGGGATTGACTCCCTAGGTCAGCCACCTCCTCCACTCATCCAACTTCCCACACATTGGCTGCCTTTCCTGCGTGTCAGACTTGAGCCCAGCACTCTCGCACATTTATCCTCTTTGTTTCTGCTCTGTTTCAGACTTTGTCTGAGCAGTCCTTTCCGCTCCACTTCTACTATTGGTTCTGACTGCAGTAGTCTTCTGCCTCTCTCCTGTCAGGTGGACCAACCTCTGCCCGACGTTCCTGTGCTCATATAGTAGTCCATCAGTCCTCCTTCGTCAGAGGACCTCCACTCCAACGTCCTGTCGGAGCTCGTAGAACTCGTGTCGGACTACAATCCAAAATTAAGGGGCACAGCACATGAGCTGAAGCCAAGCCCCTCAGACTCTGCCTTACCCCTGAGCACGGTCTTAACACCTGTGCTCCTGCTTGACTGTCTCATCAGTTACCTTATGTATAGGTTCCATTCAACTGGAACCCTTTTCCCCATTTAGGTATATACTTTCCCCTTTGGAACATAGCTCTTACTTCCTGGATCACTGGTATTTCCTATAACCACTTGATTACTGATCCATTGCATACATATTGATATCTGCTCTGACTTATGTTTTCCTCTATGTGTTGCTTCCAGTTTTTGCGATGATCAAGCAAGAAAATCAGATTTATTGCTAAGTAATGACATCTGATTTTTCTAAATAGGAACAACGCCCTAGTGGGGCTATTTGGGCTCAAACCTGAAGGGTTTGCGACCCGAAACATCATTTCAAACCTGTGGGGAAAGTCCAGGATGAGCTGTGATACCCAAAAGTCCAAAGGAGCCCTGCGACGCATCAGGCGCAGCATGGACTCCCATCTTGAAGGAGAAGGGCGAAGCATAGAATGATGCACATACCTTGTTAATGTGCAGGAGGCATGGTATATCTGGTAAACAGCTCTAGCATGGGGGATTCCTGCAGATATGGGGCCAGTATGAGCACATGTTTGCGCAGATATCCTGTGAAGGCTTCACTCGACCACCTTCCTATAGATTTGACAACATCAAATGGAACTTCATGCAGTAAGTACTCTAGAGTGCCTCCTATGTGCAATTTGTGGCCTTTGAGGTTTCCTAGACCTACTCTCTTTATGATACCACTGACCCATTTCCAGAATTCGCTCCACGTCAAGGGTCTGGGTCCTTTCACATGTTTCCATGTGAAAAGATGGTCATTGGGCCGGGGATTGTTAACTGCGAAATGATTGAGGAGGGCCGTTTTTGGGTCCACTTGACCCTCTTGTTGCGCCCAATACACTCCTTCCCCAACTGCTGAAACCTTGGTACGTGGTAGAAAGATCTTGGTGACTAAAAATTTGTGATGGTCCTTGACATTGAATTCCACGTTCGAGCATTTGACATGTTTCTCTGGATCAAAACCTTTTATCATCTTTACTGTTAGCTCTCCTAGTCTGCAGAACACATAGAATGCACTGGTCAAACATGCATATACCACGGCATCAAGAGGTAATGATGGATTGAGGTGCACTCAAATCTCTAGAATCAATTTCATGGTGAATGGTTCGCGTTTGATCTGTTTGGAGTTGATCGGTGTAAGCTCAATCGCCCCATCCAAGGATGCTTTCAGCTTCCATGGCTGACCATGTAGCATGTGCCACACTTTTATGGCATAGACATAGTTAACTAACATTTTTCCTGAGTATGAACCTGCACAGCTGGCAATGAAGTTCAAAAGTGTACATGTGTCAACGGGACAGCGTTGGTCTTCTGGAATGGCTCGTTCATCACAGAAGATGTGAAAAACCAACAGGCCTGCCCCATAGCATTCCCTCATTCCAATCGCCCAGGATAGGTTCATAACTGTCAACACTCTCTCCAAATTGTCTTCCATGATGGCTAGGAACTTTCCATCTGGTCCCGTTGCTACTCTTATCTTCAGCGGGAACCATAATCTCATTCATTCTTGCGCTAAGCAATGGAGATGTAGTTGTGACGGCGCTGGGATCAATCCTGGTTTGTAAGGTTGAGGCTTGGCTGGCTATTCTACTGAAATAGCGGCTTTGAACTGTGAGTTATAAGCAGTGCTGTTGCTGTTTCTGATGGATGAGGAAGAGTGAGTCTGAGTCGTCCTTGCATTCATTGCTGCGGGTTTGATTGGGATTGTCACGAGCAGTTCCGTCAGTGTGATACAAGTCAATTCCATCTGTGCTGTAGTCTGATGGATCCGTGGAGACAATGAAGGGATTGACAATGAAGGGATGCAGTTCAGCGGGTATATAGAGCATTGGGAGGAGGAACTCTGTGTTACCGTAGACGCCTCTTGATGGATCGTCTGCTGGATTATGCTTGCTCGTGACATAAGCTGGGTGAAATGAGTAAGGTGCTGGGGAATTGTAGATAAGGTTGAAGATTTGTTTGAACACGGCATTGACTACCATGTTTCTGCTGCGCCCATTTCTCCAGCCTTCAATGACACCTTGGTTGTCCCCATAGACTCTGAAGTGTCTTTTCGATCCTCCCATTCTGACAATATACAGAGTAAGGAGCTTGAATCCAACTGCTTCTGCCCACCCAATGTCCTTTTTCCCACTGAGCGTCTGCCAGCCTTTGCATAAGCACCAAGCTCGCCATCTGTTTCCAATGATGATAGCAACTCCAACACCAGAGCTGGCATCTGAGTATGCAGCTGGGTTGTGTAATGTGAGTGGCTTCGGTATTGGATGTCCAACAAACAAACTCTGAAGTAGTGTCTTCCACCAGTGGAGGTCTTGTTCAAGGCTTTTGACTGGTCTGTGTGGGAGAAAAGGTTTCTCAAAGGCGAGGCGTAGCATAGCTTCCAGGGATGTAAGATAAGCACGTCCTTTTGGGACGACAAGCGTTGTATGTAACAGCTTACCATACAGCTGTTGTATGTCAAGTAAAATGTGCACGCTGTGCTGTTGCCACACTTCAATCGCCAAGAGGTATTTCTGTTTCTTCTCTCTGGAAAGGTATACTTTGTCCTGTGTGAGATCCCAAATGATGCCAATGTAAGGATTGGAGTATGCAAACAGTTTGTCCTTGGGGATCTCCCATGGTAGGTTAAGCTCCTTGGATCCTTCATCAATGTCAGCGAGGCTGCACGAGAAACGACTGTCCTCGATTGACCTTGCTTATGCTCCTGACAAGTTGATGATCGGGAACCGACAATCCTCGTCAAATTCCTCCAATGTCCCATCTTCAAAGATGTGGCCACCGAACCATATCCTGCCTCCATCTTGCTGTTGTCCTCTCTTTGTAATCTCCTTGTGCCATAGTTTTCTCTTTTCGTTGTAAGCTGCAATGTGCTCTTTGTGAATCCGAATGAATAAGTGATCGTTGACCCATCTTGAAGTTGGGCCAATTCCTTTTGAGTGAAACAAATACAGACCTGCATCTGCGAGATTTCCATAGGCTCTGGCTGATGGACGTAAGCCAAAACACATGCATGTGTCAATGCAGAAGTGTTCATCCGAGATTCAGACGACAGAACCTGGCCATTGTGAGGGATGAATTGGCACCATGCGATATGCCTCAGACACATCTCTAATGGCAATTTGGGAGCCTGGTGGCAGTCTACTGATTGTGAGCGCAAGCATGTGGAACGTTCCCCAAGTGCTGGGAAAATTATCTGCATTAATATACAAGTTGATTGACACATTAGGAAATTTGGCTGAAGGAAGGTGAGGAAAGGAATAGTTTTGAATAATGCGGTAATGCCCAGGCCGACCAGGCTTGGGTATAATAGAGAAGGGTGACGACTGAAATGGCCCGATAAGACTCTCAACCTCATTAATTTCGAGCGGACCAATATAGCATCCCTTCAAGTTCAGTCTGTACAATGGAGAGAAATTCCTGTCAATATGTCTTGACAGATTCTTTATTAGGAGGGGCTTGCGTGACTTTAATAATAGGAATATTGAGAATGAAACCTCGACAAAGGCCGTCAGGGATGTGAGGGTATCTGTCAATGAGTCCGGTAGCAATGAGTCTTGAAGCCCAAGCTTCTGCATTATACGGAGTGAGGGCCTTAAGTTTTCTGCACTCAAGGACACATCTGAGCTCTGTGAGACAAGAGACTGCATCTGGAGCAGAAATGTCTGTGATTGTGCGTGATCTCGATACATCCACTGACATGTTGCCAGTCAGCTGCAGATGGGTTTTCCGTCTTGCATGGTAAGTACCTTACCGATTCAAGCACAGAGAGTGTCATAAGATTCGTCCCACAGTTTGGGTGCCTTGCACTCAATAATCCTGTGTGGGTTCCATCCAAGGCATATGGCACACGTGGAGAGGATGCCTCCACTTGTGCCTGAATGAAAATCCTGGTGAGGCTTTTTGGTTCTGTGAGCATGCTCTGGTGATGCTGAGTGTTTATGCGCGTCTCTAGTGTCTCGTTGCCTAGATGAAGAGCTGGTCCGCTGATCAGACTGTGGTGCATGATGAGATGTGAGGTGTGTGGCATGTGGCATGTGGCATATGGCATGTAGCATGAGGCATGTGGCACGTAGCATGGAGCATTTTTTATAATCAATAGAATCGAATCAGAAGAAAAGTACGATGAGTAAATGATACACGTATTGTCCGCTGCTGATACTGACCTTGTAATCTCGAGCGTTGTCTCTTTTCAAACACTCCTCCTAATAGACTCTTCCTCTCATTTCTTCTAGAACCTTCTCGTTGATCTCGGAGAGATCATACAGGTCTGCTGCAGACTTGGCTATGATGTGCCACCATTTGTGTTGTTCCGCTTGGTAGACTAGCAGAGTTCTCTGTGTCCATGGGTCGGGGAGAGAACAATACTTGTGAACCTGTAAGTTTCTCCAAAAGAGCGCCGTAATCCTAATTCTGTCCTGTGGCCAATCCACTTCTAGTAGAGCGTCCAGGAGACGCAGGCAGGCCTGACAGAAATCCTCAAATGGGAGGTTCTCGTCATTGATGGCAGACCAAGTGCTGCAAGTTGATGCTGAAGAGACCCATGCTGTCGAACCGTCCGCGAGGGTAGACAAAACCATGGCATCATCATCCATCGTTTTCTTGACCAATGCTTCATCAAGTCCGTCGTTAGTGAAATACCACATTTCGACATACTCTCCTTTGTCTAACTTGCGAAGTGTGTAGGAACACGGTGTGATAGCCAGGTCGTCTGGGATGCCTGTGTTCTGGATTGGAGTGTACTTGTGCTTGTTTCTCTTCTGTTCTTCCTTGTGGGCCTCTTCCTCTTCTGCTAAGCGTTCTCGCTTTATGCATTCCTCTTTGTCCTCTTTTAGACGATCACAATGAGCTTGTTTGTCTCTGTCGTCATTCATTTGCTGTTGCCACAAGCATTTGTCGGTGTTGTTGTTCACTTCCCAAATGTTCCTGAGCAGTTGAACTGCCTGTTCTTCAGTAATGTTCCTGTTAATAAGTTGGGCTCGTGTGTTGACAAAGTCATTGGAAGCATAGTCGGGACAGACATCCATGTTGGGATCACTTTGAATTCACGGCATGTTGATTAAATAACATGTAGTCTTAAGTAGATTAAATGTGATGAAACAAGAGTGTAGTCGAGCAGTAAAGGACTTGTGAGTACTTCGTGATGGTATGAAGCAAGAAGGGTGAGAACTTCTGAAAAGCTGTACCACCACATAGAGCTCATTCTAAGTCCGTTCTCGTGCCTCAAACTGACTTAGAATACAATCTGTAGTAATACTTACAAATTGAATACTCAGCACATAGCCTTATGATATGGACTACTGATCACTACCTCCTTACTTAGAAGGATATAAACATATCATGTACTTAGCTGGTAGCCTTAGTCTTAATATTACTTGTCTTCCCTCAGTTTCTACTGGTGGGAATTCTCCGTAGGACTGTGCTCACTCTGGACACAAGTCTCATCTTGTTGTTGCTTCCACTCCTCCACTCCAACTTAGAGCCATGCTCTAAGTTGACTACTCTTACTTCCCTCCATCCAACAAACCAATTCCCTTGTCCCCTTCCTCTCTGACTTACTTCCCCCACTCCATCTGCCCCACTCCTAGTCAGCCCACTGGACTAGGGGACCCCTAGCCAGGAGGAGAGTCAGCAACTGTGTTTGGCGGTGTTTGTAGCAGAGCAAGGCAATAGATCCCCAGACATAGTAGTGCAAGCATCTCTTCCTGTTTGCAAGGTCTAGATCTAGAACCAGTTTCCACCACTCCACTGCCACTAGTAGCCTTTACCTCCTGACCCTCAAAGCAGACTAAAGTGGTCCACCTATCCTATCATTGGACAATGTTGGTCCTGCTCCAAATTTGGGGCACATACTCGGCTAAGGGCACAGTGCAAGAGCTGAAGCCAAGCCCCGACCCCTCCGCTTCTCTGCCTGAGCACAGTACCTAACATGTACATATGATGTCATATTGGGCTTGAAAAACTCAACATTGATGTTCAAAGGTTGATATGAAATATAATGGGCGGAAAAATTGTTGACAAACAAGCAAATGTGGTGATCTTGCTGCTTCATTTGAAGATCAAACTTCTTGAGCCACCTACATTATGATGGATTAGACTTGAACAAGATGTAATAAATCATCAATTAACTTACTCTTCAAAAATGACTGATGTCATCCAAGCCTTTTTATTGTTGTGGTAATAAAACCCATGCTGTTCTGGTGTTTGCTTTTTGAAGCATTGTGGTTTCTTTGCTCTTCCAATGAAGATGGGTTCAAGCCATTCACTGCCATTAGCATTACATGCTAGCCCAATAGAAATGCAGAATTTTTCTTTCTTCTTGCCACTCATTTGCTGTGATGCAAGACCATGGTCAGGAGGTGCACTATAAATAACTAAATTAACCATCATTATTCAGGAACTAATCTACACTCACTAAGGAAGAATGACATCTCATCAAAATTCCACTGATCCCATGGAGCAAACTTTGCCAAAATTCTGTGACAATGCTCCCTCTCCAGTTCGGCAGCCTCAGCCCAAGGATCAACAGAACCAGCCTCTCTATGCCAGCAGTGCTCACAAAGCTTGTAGGCTTTACAGAATGACTGCACCCATGCCTTACCAAGCAGTCTCTCCTTTTCTGGCACATTAAATTCATCTTCAAAGCTCTTCCACTTCTCATACAACATATGTGATGTGACTGTTTCACCTTTATGTTCCATGTGCTGGACCCATAGAACTAAGGCACACTCGACATCTGGTCAAGTGATAACTTTTGGCTGCTTTGCTGACAATACATTTGGGTTATCATTGATATGAGCTTCCATATTTGGGCGTTTTTATAACTTGCGAGACAGCATTGACTGGTCAAAGTTGAGTGCACTGGTTGGGAGTGATTTGAAGTGTTGGACAATGTCAGTGTTAGGTACCATGCTCGGGCAGAGAAGCAGAGGGGTTGGGGCTTGGCTTCAGCTCTTGCACTATGCCCTTAGCCGAGTATGTGCCCCAAATTTGGAGTGGGACCAACATTGTCTGATGATAGGACGGTGTGGGTACAACAATTCTACTGGGTGTAGAAAGTGTTGGGTCTTGCTGCCTGCTGCTATACCTGCAAGGAGGTGCATTCAACCCTAGAGGGTTTCTGGACTAGAGCTAGGTAGTGCTCAGAGAGAAAAGTGCAATCGAAAGAGCACTGCTCATGGTGGTGGCTTAAGAAGATTGTTTGTTTACATAAGCAGTAAAAATGCGTACATAAACTAAGGAAAGTAATGACAAGTGAAACTAAGTAAAAACCATCAATACAAGCCCAGAGTAACATAACTCCCTACAGTGGACAAAAACTCAATGTCATTGAAATGTAGAGGGTCACCTGGTCAATCATGAGAGCCTCAAGCTCTGCTATAATTAACAAAGACCAAAAGGGTATTCCAGCACAGCCTGATCTCACGTGCATAAGTGTTCTGGATGTGGAGTGAAGGATCATGGAGCTCAAGAGTGTCCTCAAAGTGAGAGTATGTAAGACATTCACTCCATATCAGCCTGAAGCATGGTTACATTTTCTTTACTCTTCACATCTTATTAATAAATATGCACATATTCCTAATGGTTTACATATTAGTTTTATGAAGAGTGTCCCCAGTATATTGCACACATACACCCTCTCTAATAGCCCTTTGTTACACACACACTACAATGCCTTTGCTACCATACTGAATTGTGAATACTCTACTGGATGCTATATTGGTCCCTTATCTAAATCAGACACAGAAAAACCCATTGGTCCTTTCCAGACAGCTCCGCTTTCCATGGTTCCTAAACCAGGAAAGCCAGGCAAGTTTCAGCTTGTACAAAACCTCTTATTTCCTTTATATCTGTCCACTGCTATTTCTTCTATTAATTCTTCCATCCACTCCGACCTCTACCCCTGTACCTGGGGCACGGCATCAACCATCTGCCTCCTCATCTGGTCCCTTCCTCCAGGCTCATAGGCAGCAGTTTGCAACATGGCAGAAGCCTATCACACAGTTCCCCTCCATCTGTCACAATGGCCAGGCCTGGTTGTTAGAACAGGAAACAATGAATTCGCCATTGACTCAAACTTTTGCTTCGGATTCTCTGCTTCTGCAGGAAGTTATAGCAAAATCACAGACACAGGTGCCAACATCTTCAGATCACAAGGGATTGGTCCACTATCTAAATGGGTGGATGATCATTTATTCATTTGCATTCTTTGGGAGCATCTTGAAGACTACAACAACCTTTGTAAGGCTTGCTCTGCTATTGTCACTAGAAACAGAGGGCTGCTTATCAATGGAGGGCATAAATGGTTCCGAGGATCAACCATGCCAGACAGCAGAGTTGAGGAATTCAATGAAGACTTATCATTCCCCATCCTTCATCTATCAACAGCGTCTCTGCATTCACCAAAGGATGCACTCTTCACTTACTGCTTCGATGACATCAATTGCTTATCCAAAATCCTGGACATACCTTGGGAGCTGGCAAAAGACATCTTCTTTTTGTCATGCACTCCTTTCATTGGCTTTCTCTGGGACATTGCAACATGTTCCATCTCAATCCCACAGAAGAAGAAAGAGAAACATCTAGCTGCCATTTGAGATTGGGAAGCTTGGTCCTCACATACCCTTCAGGAAGTGCAACAGCTATATGGAAAGCTTTTGCACACATCTCTGGTCCTCCCCACAGGGCAGGCCTATCTCGTCTCCCTCAAATACATGCTATCCATCTTTCACAACTGTCCACACATACCTTGTTCCCCTCCCAAGCATATAGGAGAAGACCTCTGCTGGTGGAAAGCCAGTCTCAGGCAACCCATCATTGCTTGACCCATTCCAGGGCCCATTGAAGTCATTGACCCCTCAGCTTGCTCAGATGCTAGCTCAGGTACTGGTATTGCAATTTGGATCAACAGTAATTGGAGAGCATGGCAACTCCTCTCAGGGTGGAAGGACAAGAATTGAGACATCGGCTGGGCAGAGGCAGTTGTGATGGAGTTTCTCATTATCACACTCCTCAGTTAAAGCCCAGAAGGCAGCTGCATCAAAGTTTTTGGTGACAGTTGGGGTGTTGTTGAAGACTGGTGGAAAGGTCGAAGCCAAAACAGGGCCACCAATACTGTCTTCAAATGCATCCATGAGCTTACTGCTCCCCCCAATATACATTCCTGAAGCTCTCCAACCCTTCATCGCAAATTTCAACAATCCCACAGTCCCTTCTAGATGTCATACACCCCATGAGAGCATCAAAGCACAGTTTCTCAGCAGTATCCACTTCCACTCCCAAGACTCACACAATAATCTCAACAATGAACTCCATCAGCAAGGAGAAGAAATCTTCAAAGCAACCAAGGCTTATTAAGTTGCTGAACATGATTATACAGCTTACCCTTCATTAAGATCACTTAGTTGCAGCTTATCCTGACAATCTTACCTCACAAACATCCTCTTTGCATCCTTACTGCACTGCCAAAGACGGACTTCGTTTATGGCTCCTAGTAGGGATCAAACAGCATTGGCCTGCCCCCCTCATGCTGATGCACAATGTATCCAGGACATCATGATCCACGCATGGGCCAGCAGCACCAGAGAAGCTTTTGGTAGTGGTATCCTGGTCTTTCATGTGTATTATGACTCAAAAGCCATTGAAGACACCCTGCGTGCTCCTGCATCTACTAAACTCATTTCAGCTTTCATATCAGACTTGGCAGGTTCGTATTCATGAAAGACAATATCAGGTTACATCCATGTTCCCATGCCCATCGGTGCGCGTGAAACCTCACACCTTTCTACCTTTAGCTTTTTACTCCCACTTCCACCTCCTTTGACACAACGGTATGTACTGTCATGTCATCCTCACCTCTCCCCCTCTGGTCCTATTTTGCACAATGGTATGTACTGTTGTGTTATCCTTGTCTCTCCCCCTCTAGTTTTGGATGCCACTGGTTCAACAGCGTGGTTGCGCCTTTGTGTGTTGTAGGATGACACCTAGGCACTGCACCACCTTAGTACCGTGACTTTCCAAATTCCCTCATTGTACAATGGAAACTTCTTCTCTTTCTCATTCCAGTCATTGTCTCCTCTGTTGCCACAGGTGGCATAACTTATGCCATCAGGCAGGGATTCAATGCCCTCCACTTTCCCATTGACTCCCACTTCCACCTCCTTTGGCATGATGGTATGTACTGTCATGTCATCCTTGCCTCTCCCCCTTCAGTTTTGGATGCCACTGGTTCAACAGTATGGTTGCGCCTTTGTGTGTTGTAGGATGATACCTAGGCACTGCACCACCTTAGTACCATGACTTTCCAAATTCCCTCATTATGCAATGGCAACTTCTTCTCCTTCTCACTCCAGTCATCATCTCCTCTGTTGCCACAGGTGGCATAAGTTATGCCATCGGGCAGGCATTCAACACCCTCCGCTTTCCCATTGACTCCCAACCCACCCCAGTCCAGGATGTGGAAGGAAAATCCACCAGGAGAGATCATGTTCACAAGTATGCGGGCCAGAGTCTGCCCCAAGACCACAACTTGCAATGGATAAATGTTTGATTGACATTGAAGTTCACACACCCGAAGAAATGTATCCCTCATCCGCTGTCCGCTTACAAGATGGACTGTCGTGCCTGCTGTCCTTCATATGGAATATTTGAAGGAAACAAACACATCTGCTTAGCCAATGGACTCAACGCCTGCCACCGGTCCTGCTCAGACCTCCTATGAGGGTAAGCCGCCCTGTATGTATCTCCGCTGCTTCCTTTGACATGTGCGGTGCAGCTCAAAATATATCTGAGCGACTCAGGAGTAGCACCAAATGCCCTTCTAATCATTTAGGCTCAACCCAGCCATCCTCACAAATGATCCTGGCAGGATGAAGAGAGGCCTTCCCAGGAGAAGGAGAAGGAGCTGTAGAGACTTCATCTTGTGGTTCAGAACCCCAGTCTGCCAAGGATGTGCTGCATCATGGCGTGAGCCTCACAGCAATCGAGCTTGTAGCCCTTGGCATCAGTGCACTAGTCATGAGCAACATCACAAGCAATTTGTGGATTTCCACCGGAGAGCACAATGTAGTGGAGCCCAGATGGTTTGTATATAAATCTGTCATGAAACAGGAGATGTCATGGTTCAATCTTCACATGGGGTCGATGGGTCTATGGCCCGTCTCAGCCCTTGATTCTGATTTTTGACAATCCCAACAGAGAGACCAATGAAGTATGCACTGCATCATCGCAGGTGGGTAGGCCAGCTGCTTCAATATCTGACTACCACCATTATGAGCCTTGTGCTCACTTTCATTTGGTGGCCACTACTTACCCTCATCATTCTCTCCGCCGCCCCCACATTAATTATCATTCAATCATTCTCAAAAGTACTTGCTGGGCCACTCCTCGCTCGTGAGTGTACATTCACTGCCTCTACCATCATAAAGCATGCTGTGTCTGTAATTGCCACCATAAAAGCATTCAACGTAGCTACGCATGAGATCCGTGTCCTTGCCCATGCCCTCGGACGCATAAGTGCAGCAGGAAATGGACTCACAGGCATCTGGGGCCTCACATCTGGCTTCAGCCAGTTCATCACAATGGCGATGTTCATGCAAGGATTCTGGTTCGGAGCTCATCTTGTCCGGGAAGGAAAGAATACGCCTGGTCAAGTTATGAGTGTTTTCTGGGCATGCCTTATTTCAACGAGCAACCTCCAAATGGCCATACCCCTTCTCATCACATCTATCAAGGGCAAAATTACTGCTGCAGAGCTCTCAGAGATGATTTCAGGAGCACAATGACCATCTTCAAAGTGATGAGAACTTCAGAAAATCCAGCCCAAGTCCTTCAATGGTGAACTCAGCCTCACTGATGTGAGCCTTCACATATTCTGTACGACTGGACTGCGATGACATATGCCGCCTTATCTAGCATTCTCTTCAAAGGCTCGGTGTGGAGTGTGTCGAAGTTCAGAGCGGGGGAATGGCTAGTAGAGTTGCTCTGCCTTTTCCAATTCACATCGCAGTGACCAAAGAAAATCATTTTGTTCCACTCAAAGACGTATTCTGCTGAACTGGAAAAGTCTCTTCTCAGTGCGGATGTCAACCGCATTGTCGATCACCTATCTTTTGGTTGGTATGAATCTTTGTTCCAGTCATACATGGCCAAAAAGGTATGGATCGCATGAATCATCTATGATTTTTAAAGTCACTGACTTCACCCAATAGGAGAAATGAAAGGTAGTAAATGGATGGCTTACACTGCACGAGCTCTGATTGTGCAGTTCTGGGAGCTTACCAAGGTTAGTAGGCTGAAAAATATTGTGCCATGTTCCTGTAATCATTTACAATTTTTGAAGTCGCTGACTTCACCTGATAGGAGAAATGAAAGGTAGTAAATCTTCTATACTAAAATGACTCGGTCACGTGTAGTTGAGACAACTTGACTTATGACTAATCAACTTGCAAGACAAGATGTGTTGTTAAGTAAGCCACTCGGATTGGTCACGTTCCAGTGCTTGAAGCAGGCGCTGAACGGAACGTTCAACACGCACGTGTGATGGAGAATCGTCGGTATGTAATTCGAAGTTGTGATCGCAGTGTTGCACTCACATGATCTAACTACAGCGGTGCTGAAAAATGCCATCATGATGCTTCCGTAGTGTCGAGTCACTCAGACTCCGAGTCAAGCAACAACCAGGTGAGGATATCCGTTCAGCATTCTCTGCCGCGGGTCTTATTTGCCTTAGCATGCGCCCCTTTTGAATCTCACAAAAAGACCGCCAGACTCGCCTGCGTCTCGAGAGACCAAATGGCGTGCCATATCCAACAACTTTTCCGCCACTCAACACGCTGCTATCCCCGGGGGAAACACTCATGAAAAGGTGAGATATAATTTCTTTTCAATGGATATATATATTCAACTCCCTTAGAATGTACAAGTCCGAGATCCTTCCATGTCCGAGTTCGAACGGCGGTCTTTGGCCCAGCGTCAGCGTCACGAGCGTGAACGCCTCCAGTGTGAGGCACGAGGAGTCGGTGAGCAGCCAGAATGTCTCGCACAGGCTCCTCATAGCCCTGAGGCTGAACAAGGGACACGGGCCACCACAGCATTTGAACGCCGTTCTCTTGGACAAAAGAGACGCCACGAACGTGAGCGACAGCAACGTGAAGCTCAGCAACCACCAACCACTGGAACACCTGGATCGGCTGCTCGCGAATGCGAACCTACTCCTAGAGCCATGGAAGTTGATGAACTCCCACCTGCACACCAACATGATCATCGCCCTGATGGGATGGACATTGACCTGCTGCCGCAAGCTGCAAATATCTCAGAGCCTGTTGACAATCTCCACAACCATGTTCCACCTGCTTCGCCGCAATTTCCTGCCACAATTCCACCACAACAGTTCGTTCCTCTTCCTGTTCGCCCCGATCTTCCTCTCACATGACGGCCATATGTCGAGCCAAACTTGCGTCATGATCTAGGCAGAATGGATGTTGCATGCCCCCATTGTAATGCTCTCCATTGGATGAGTGAGCGCTTGGCATCATCTTCAAACTGAAATCCTGCCTTTGGAATGTGCTGTGATCAAGGCCAGGTTCACATTCCTGCCCTTCGTGATCCTCCAGAGGCTCTCAGGAATCTTTTTGAAGCATGCACTCCTGAAGCCATTGAGTTTCGGACCAACATACGGCAGTACAATGCAGCACTTGCATTCACGTCACTTGGCGTCAATATTGATCGCGAAGTCAACAATGGTAGAGGGCCATATGTGTTTCGTGTTCATGGGGAGCTGAGCCATCGAATCGGAGATCTTATGCCTACAGAGGGTCGGCAGCCAGTGTATGCACAATTGTATATTTATGATCCACAGGCAGCTCTGGATGAACGAATGCAACACAACCGTGATTTAAACCGGCGCACCATGGATAAGCTTCAGACTATTCTCCTGCAATACCACCGTTATTCAATGCTATTTTGTCATGCATATGAAGTACTTGCCCAGCAGCCAGCTGATTCTCCTGTCGCCATTTGTTTGCTTGCTGATCCCAGCCGAGATCAACAACGGTACAATTTGCCTACTGTCAGCGAGATTGCTGCTATTGTACCTGGAGATGGCACACAAGTCACTGATTCCCGTGATATTGTGCTTCATCGACGAACGGGTCCCTTGCAGATAATTCACGATGGACACAGGTCTTATGCTTGCCTTCACTATGTCCTGTTTTTCCCTCATGGAGAGGACGGATGGCACTGGGATCTCACAATGCACCAACCTGACAAAGAGAAGCTGAACCGTCTCTCACAAGTTCGCTATGCAGCATTCCGATTATTCTCTCACGAAACGGAGTTCTCAGTCATCCTTCGAGGCAGTGCACTTTTTCAGCAATGGCTGGTGGATACATTTGCTATCTCTGATCAGAATCGTCTGACGTATCTTCGCCTGAATCAAGGAAAGCTTCGGGCCTCGTTATATAGTGGCCTCGAGGACTCCGTCACATCTGCTGGTGATGACAATGTGGATCTCCATGAGCTTGGTCAACAATTCATCCTACCATCTTCATACACCAGAGGACCACGATACATGTATCAATGCTATCAAGATGGATTAGCTCTTGCACACTACTTCAAGAAGATTGATATCTTTATGATGGTCACCTGCAACCCAAAATGGCCTGAAATAGAACAAGAGCTTTTGCCAGGTCAATCTGCTGCCGATCGCCCAGACTTAGTGGCAAGGGTATTTCATATGAAGAAGCAGGCAATCGTTGACAATGTGTATAAGAAGGGTGTATTTGGTCGAACAGTCGCGTACATATACACCATCGAGTTTCAAAAGCGGGGCCTCCCACACATGCATATGCTCATCTTCCTTGAGCAGCCAGATAAATTGTTGACTCCTGTCGACATTGATACGGCCATCTGGGCTTGGTGGCCTGACCCAGAGACGAATCCGAAGCTCTTTGAAACAGTGAAGACATGTATGGTCCATGGTCCATGTGGGGCCTTGAATCGAAATGCACCTTGCATGGAGGACGGAAAGTGCACCAAGGGATATCCGAAGCCCTTTCAAGCACAGACAAACATCGACCATGAAGGATACCCTCGCTATTGCCATCCAGATGATAATCGCATCTTCAAAGTTGGCCAGCACGAATTGGACAACAGGTGGATTGTGCCGTACAATCCATTCATGTCAACTAAGTTTGACTGCCACATCAATGTCGAGTGCACAGTCTCCTTTGGATCAGTCAAATATGTCAACAAGTATATATGCAAAGGACACGACCGTGCAACCATGGAAATCAACTCGCGCGATGAAATTCGTCAATTCATTGACGGCCGATACACTTCTGCTCCCGAGTCAGTATGGAGAATTCTGCAATTTCACATCCACAAACAACAGCCTCCTATCACAAGGCTGCAGGTGCATCTCCCTGGGCAACATATGGTAACATTTGATCCCGACGAAGACCCTCAGGCTGTGCTTGACCGAGCTGCAAATGAGCGGACTACATTAACAGCTTTCTTCGCAGCAAATGCTGATGCAGGTGCACTTGGCATTGAGGCACGGAGATACACATATCAGGAGTTTCCCCAGCATTTTACATGGAAACCATCGAAAAAAACTTGGGACATGCGTCAACAAGGCTTCGCTCTTGGACGCATGTACTATGTTGGTCCAACTGGCGGGGAGCGGTTTTATCTTCGCACCCTTCTGACTGTGGTCAAGGGCCCAACCTCATTTGATGACCTTCGTACATTCAACGGCATTGCTTACCCATCATTTCGCGAAGCTTGCCTGGCACGTGGGCTGCTGGAAAATGACGGTGAATGGAGACAATGCCTGGAGGAGGCAGCCACAATGCAAACCGGAAGACAACTGTGGCAGCTGTTTGCAACTATTTTGCTTTTTTGCTCGCCCACAGAACCTGTGACATTGTGGAATAATTTTCGTGCACATATATGTGATGACCTGCGCCATCGACTGATGGTTGTTGCACAGCGGGACAACCCAACAGACATTGAAGTATACGACTTTGGCCTGTATCTCTTAAACCAAGTGCTGGAAAAATCAGGCTCTTCACTGCGGAATTTTGCCATGCCACTGTCGCAGCATGACTGGGGTGCTCATATTGAGAATCAAAACTCATATATCGCTGAACAGCTGTCATATGATGTGCAGGAGGAGCGTCGACAAGCACTCCAGCATATTCCCCTACTCAACGCAGAGCAACAGGAAGCCTTCACACACATCTGGGAATCTGTCAAACATGAAAAAGGCACAACGTTCTTTCTTAATGGTCCTGGTGGAACAGGAAAAACATTTGTTTACAAGACCATTTGCCACAAGATACGAGCAGAGCGGCTAATAGTGCTATGTGTTGCCTCATCTGGGATAGCAGCATTGCTGCTTAGAGGAGGACACACTGCACATTCGATGTTCAAGATTCCCGTTGATGGCCTTAATGAGGACTCAATCTGCAATATTCCAAAAGAGGGTCCTCTAGCCGAACTTATTCAACATACACATCTCATTATCTGGGATGAATCTGGTATGCAGCATCGAAATGCACCAGAGGCAGTTGATTGGACCTGTCGTGACCTGCGTAACAACAACAAACCGTTCGGAGGCATCACCGTTGTGTTTGGAGGTGATTTCCAGCAGATACTTCCTGTGATACCCCGAGGAAGCCGCGAAGATATCATTGGTGCAACAATTCAGCGCTCTCATCTTTGGAAAGATGTGCAAATTCTCCATCTCACTCGAAATATGCGACTCAACGATGACCCAGACAGCCAAGTTTTCGCACAGTGGTTGCTTGATGTTGGTCATGGACGGAATTCAGATTCTGACAGCATGGTCACCATTCCAGATACCATGATCACACGTGACCTCAGCACACTCATTGATTCCATTTACAATGGGCTCTCCGATAATTCAAATGGTCCTCCGCCACCAGATTACTTCGCACATCGCACGATCCTCGCTCCTCGCAATGGAGATGTTGACATTATTAACAAGGAGGTGTTGGGGCGAATGGCTGGTGCAGAAAGGACCTATTTCAGTGCTGACAATATCATTCATGAAGATGGGGCTGATGGTGATGTGCAGGATGGTTTCCGGTCGAGTTTCTGCGAAGTCTCAATTCCGCTGGTTTGCCTCCTGGCGAACTTTCATTGAAGGTTGGATGTCCTCTGATTCTCCTTCGAAACCTGGCACCCAGCCAAGGGCTCTGTAATGGGACACGAATGGTACTTCTTCGCATGTCTGACAGAGTCCTCGAGACACATATTCTTGGTGGTGATCACAATGGAGAGACTGTCTTCATTCCTCACATCTCCCTCATTCCCTCAGCAAAATCTGCAGACTTTACCTTTGTTCTAAAGCGGCGACAATTTCCCGTGCGGCTCGCGTTTGCGATGACCATCAATAAGGCACAAGGTCAATCAGTCAAGTTTGTGGGACTTGATCTGCAAGTTCCCGCCTTCAGTCATGGTCAACTCTATGTTGCTTTGTCACGGTCAACCTCGAGTCATCATATCAAGATGCTCCTCCCTCACGATGTCTCAAAAACTACCAATGTAGTTTACCCTGAAGTTCTTCTTTGGTGAGCACGTTCCATCACCACCGCTAACCCAAGATGCTTACTACTAACAGACTCCAGAGCAGTCGAAGTTACATCACATAGATATATCTCTCATTTTCTGCTCAGTCAATTGCATATGTGATCATTCCTTTAGCTTTGAAATTAATGCCTCGCTCACGGCTCTACAGATCTTTGTGCAATGTGACACGTGGCCACCCATGTCAAACAATACAGTGTCGGCAATGTGGGTCAAGACCCTGACAGTTGCTTACTCGCTACCGAGACTAATACTCCAAGTCCTGTTCACAGTTACAACTACGAACACTCTCAAACATTCTGCATGATTCCATGCATCTGTTACCCGATGGGCCTCCAGAATATATAATGTAACTGTCCGGTGAGCATTCCGCACTAATTCTCTATCATACACAGTCTCACAAACTATTCTCGCTCACAATTCCTCATGTCAAACTCAAGCGCAAGTTCTGCCACCATAGTTGCTGTTGCTGTCCTTGAGAATGGGAGGTTTTGTGAAGGTCAAGGCAGGGCTCTCAATTTTGATGCTCAAATCTATCTAGGCGATGATTGTCCTCCATTGCTAGCTGCATTGAAGTACTTTAATGCTGACAACCAGGCTTTCGATCCTGTCGGCTTCTACATTGTCATTGCGAGAGTAAGTGTTATTTGGTTTCATCCACTACATTGTACACTCATTCACTCGAAGGTTGCCAAAATGGAACCAAGTGCAAACATTAATCTCGATGACCGAAACCGAGAATCGTACTTTGATCTGGTTGGTGATGTTGTCAGGGTATGTCTCACTCATTGCATGATACGGGTGCACCTGATTTTTTCC